AATTTTAAAGTATAATATTTTAAATCTTCTAACTAGTACTCATATTACTGCTATGATTATTATTATTTTTCTACAAAAATAGTATACATTCCGTTATAATTAGGAAAAGATGAATGTAAGATTAGCCAAAGCATATTTTTCGTTATAGTTGAATAATGTTAATCTTCAGGAATAAATATTGGAATATCCATAGTATATAATGTTCCAAATCAGTAATAGCCCCAAGTGTCAGCAGCTCACTAACAACCTGCCTATTGATCCTGCGAATCACTCACACATTCAAGTTTTAAGGATGGAAAAGTTGTTATAGAGGATTGATATTTCAACTGCATGTTCAAGCGAGGTGGCGAGATCCTTGTTGTGAAATCTTATGATCTCCACTAACCACTTCATAGAAGGTGGGCCATAGCTTTGTCTACAACTTGTATCTTATCACCAAATCTAAATGTTCCCATTTCAGCAAACATGCCCTATAATTATACCTTAACTATATTTACCTAAAAGTAAGTAGATCTGAATGTTATCAGAATTTAGTGTTATTTAATGACACATCTACATAACATTATAAGTACCTACTGAAATGCACTAAGAAATAGAAATTCGAAACAAATGTACTCACCCCATGAACCAGTCGACGGTGTCACGCAGATATTCCGGTAGTCGCTCCAGCTTGGTAGATTTATATCACTTTTCTCTCCAAACAATTAACCAAATATGTAATTGGTTGTACTAGTCCGCGCCTTAGCCGCTAACAATCACAGACTGTAACATCACACTTTACTGCTTTAATCGACGCATCAAATCTAACTGTATTCGTCCGAGGAGCTCAGATCTGAAGTTAACTAGACCGTGTCGCAGTCACAAAACCCTATCAATACCTTTTTATCACAACTCTAGCCGCAGCAGCTGGTCTGAGTTCGCCATGTTGCGCAACTCTTATTCCTATTTTTAATTCTTAAATTGAAATGATTCATTAGGCAAGTTCTCTACAAGCTGTCAATCTAGATGTAAATGTCCTTTTTTAAATTTAAACACAACAGATTTCTTTTAATCTCATAAACAAGCATCGTTTCCGACTTATTCCGAANCTTTTTATCACAACTCTAGCCGCAGCAGCTGGTCTGAGTTCGCCATGTTGCGCAACTCTTATTCCTATTTTTAATTCTTAAATTGAAATGATTCATTAGGCAAGTTCTCTACAAGCTGTCAATCTAGATGTAAATGTCCTTTTTTAAATTTAAACACAACAGATTTCTTTTAATCTCATAAACAAGCATCGTTTCCGACTTATTCCGAAAAAAACCATAAATCAACGAAAAAGTCATAACAAATTCCGTTACTCAGCCTTCCGTCAAATTCAATGATTTTTTTATTTCAACCAACCAAATGACAAGCAAAGGAAATATACTCCATATATTTTCGTAACAAAAGCCATGACAGCTAAAAATTAAAGTAGATTTTGTTTATTTAATTTATTTATTTAAGCGGAAAATAAGTAAAAAAAAGAAGTGAATTAGAATCTTATAATTTTCTCGTTTCCAAGTGCAATGCTTTCTCAAAATATTGTTTTTTCATCATTTAAATTTACTAAAAGTAATTTGACGATTTCATTTTCTTTAATAAACCCAGAATTCGGAGTGCAATTTCAATAGGAGAGTTCGATCAGGAATTTCTTTCGTTCTCGTTACAAGAAACTTTAATTAACCGATTCTCATTAACGATGGTTAGAAGGAAACAAAATAGCATAAAGAGCCGATAATAAAATTATATTACAGTAAATTTAACTAAAACGGACCTGAACTGAAGTAAAATGAACAGGGACATTACAAGAATGGATACTTATACAACGTTAAAAGTCTTCATAAAATCTTAGCAAAGATTATATATAACAAAGACTAAATGAATTTTTGTGATTATATAGGAATCGGCACGAGTCGTGAGCTCTACGTGTAACTATACTTCAGACTTTGGAACTTATATCTCAAGGTGGGTGGCGCATTTACGTTGTAGATGTCTATGGGCTCCAGTAACCACTTAGCACCAGGTGAGCTGTCAGCTCGTCCAACCATCTAAACTGACCTTTATATGCGCAGAAATGCATTTTTGGGTCTGTTTTATTTTATTTTTTTATTGCTTCGATGGGTGGCCGAACGAATACTATTTGAAACTTTTTAATAATAGTCGGTTTTTTTGTTTTTTGTCTTTGAATAGATCATAAATCGTATGAAAAGATAACTTAAGGAATCGTTTATAAGTCCCATAGTTCTTATCTAAAGTAGGTGTAAGATTCTATTATAATTTTTATTTTTATTGCTCTAATAGCTTATCAATTAAAAATAGGTTTAGGTATCTATATTATTCAAATGATTTCTCTGGCACCAGAGAAATCAATGAAAATCGTCTAAAATCTAAAACTTAATAATATAAATTCGAGAATTTCTTCCATATCCGTCATCATATTATTATGGGAAAAGCAAATTATCGGTAAAAACTCGACAGCATACCTGTTCTAGTTAAAAAACGGGATTTGATAACGTTTTGGAAGTCAGTTAATATTAGGGTTCTTTCTAACTATAATATTAGCAAAACCCCGGGCAACATTATTATAAAATTACTAATACATTTTTAAGTCCCAAATTGAACGGAATTAACTCAATTATAAAAAATTCTAATAAGTACCGTAAAATGGGGCGATTAGGGATTGAGAGGCGAATCGGGAAAAAACCGGGAAAATCTTTCGACGCTCAATATAAGTTTTATATTCATTGCAAAATCTTCCATTTTTTGTAGTTTAATAGTAGAATGTTGAAAGTTCAGAAAACAACTCTGAATATGCATGATAATAGCTGCTAACTTATAAAAAATCGCGTTTCAAATTAACTTCCTGTGGTGGTAATTATTTTAGTGCTAGAAACTTTGCTCTCTTTTATTTATTTGATAATAATAGAAGACGACTATGATTTATAAACGTTATTTAGTGTTTGAACCAGCATATATATTAAAGGTAAGTCTCAGTTGTTATTGGTTTTAATGTATTTGATTAAATAAAAATACATGTAAAAATCTGTTGTTTTTGGGGATATTGGGGACGTCTTAGGTATAAATAACAACGAAAAAGGGGTCAATTGGGATGAGAATACGTGAAATGGAAACGACCTAAGTATAAATAGGTACAGGTTTGTAGGGTTGTCTATGTAGTTATAACAATATTTTTTTAAATTTGTTGGTAAAAATCTGGTTTATTCATGATGTTTTTGTCTAGAACTTTTATTTAAAATTTTCAATGTGTTATTTTATTGCTTGGTAAATATTTATATTATCAGCGTGTACGTATCAAAGAGTGCAAAGCCTTGAGATATGATCCCTTAATATTAAAAACAGCAATAGAAGCCTATGAAATTGGGAATAAGTCTTTAGTTGAAATAGATAAGCAATTTAATATAAGTAAGTCGATTTTGCACAGACATGTAACAAGAACAATGAAATCTCAAGGTGGACAAAAATGTCTAAGTAATACATAATAAAATATTTAATATTTGTTCAGAGTGGGGGTATTCATCTGATTAATCAATGGAATAACCGACACACCTAATCTCTTAACCCAGATAGAAATATCAGCACCTAAGTATTTACCAAGAACGGAGAAATATAAACCGTTTCTAAGAAAGCTCACTATATATATATTTTGTTGTTAATGCACTGTCGATTGCACCTATAATTGAGGTGACATCTACCATGTACTTTTGTCAGTTTTTCAATTTTTTTTTATTGATTATCACTTTGTTGGTGCAACTAAATAAATAAATAAATTAAAACTATATATAAAAATAAAAGTAGTGCCAACCTTAGCAAATTTCTCATTTCGTCCCAATTAATCGCAATTTCCGGGTAAATAGGGATTACACCTATTTTTGCATTTTTTGCTTAAACTGGAATGCTAGTTGCATAATTTTAAATTGGACAAGAAAGATGCCCCCAAGACTCAATCATTTTGATCCTGATATAGCATTATATACATCAACAACTACCTTAAAATTGCTCATAAAGTTGGAATTTGTCCCTAATCGCCCAATTTTACCGGTACATGAGTGATCCATTTAACTTTACCGTAAGTGTACGATGCGCATTCCCCCACTATTTTGTCAAGAACTCACGACTCATACCGATTGCTACACCAAAAATTTATACTTTCAAGTGTTCAAATATTAAGTGTACAATCTATGTCTTACATTTCTTACATATGGTACTGAATTTTGTAGCGGGAACGCGAGGAGTGAAGTTGTGTGATTTGTTTTATTTTGTGTATTTAGTGTTTCTTCAGGTTGAAACGTGTAATAACGGTGGTTTATTAACTGTTTAATGTGTGGCGTTTATGAACGCACATTTTTATGATGCGTAAGCCAGAACGCACGAGATGTGGGAAAAAGAATATAGTCTGTGACACGGGACCTTTTTACCGCCAAATATTTAAAACGTAAAAAATAATTTATAATGTGTTTAATAACTAATGTAATATAATTACTTAGAATTGTTTATGCCGCTACAACAATAAAATTTATATTGTTTCAACTGTGGTGTTAATTATATAAAACACGACTTTAAGGCGAAATAAAGAAGGGACTCTCTCTATATGAGCTCCCTCAAATGTATGTCTGTGAAAGTGCACAAATGTGGGAAAATGAAACAAAGCTGCTGGACGTAACTTCTCGGGATCCTCCAAAAAGTCCACTGAAAAAATCTCAGTAAATAACCACCATTTTACTGATATTATTTTTCATCCAATATCGTCTATTTTCATTTAGTTTCATCCCAGTTGATTAATGTCTCAAATTAATCATCTTCATTTCATTTCATTTCACTTTGTATTATAATTTTTAATAAATTTTTCATAAAAATAAGAATTAAAACTAAAATAAGACTTAATAAATAATAATAATAAATATTTACTAACAATCACACCTGACATGACTTAAAGGTCTTAGATACCAGGTAATAAAATCCCTTAAAAAAAACATATGGTACTCAGGTACTTATTTATTTCCATTTATTCTCTAATGCAATATAGATAAAATTGAAAAATAATTGTTTCTAGCAAATTAGTTAATCGCAAAAATGTTCAGATTGCCCTTTGGAGAAAGAGTAGATCCGATGGAAGAAAAACGTCAAGCACGCGAGAACACTATCAATAGCGTAATAACGTTTGGAATAATGTGTGCAATTATAAGAATCGGTAAATAATTTACAAAATATCTTTAACATTCAGTACACGCAACTGAATAAGTAATAAATGTGTAATTATTAAAAAAAAACAGGTTAGCTTCAATACCAATAATGGCAATCTTTTAACTGTTTCCGATTTCGTGATCCTCTAACCTTCCAACGATCGAGCTTGTCTATCTTTCGAAGAAAACCTTGCCTCTAAATACTAAATCTAATAAATATATTCTCCGTAGTAGTTTTTGATTTTTAACACACAAATTACGTGCATCGTCATTATTAAGCTCAAAAACATAAATCTCTCATCTAAGATGTTTGTTTTGCTTTAGAGCACGATCTAATAAAATAACAAGAAAACCAGAGAAAAAAATGTAGATGAGCATAGGGTCGTAATTCTAAGCTTAATAATAGTTTTTTACCCATTGATTGCTGTTATATTCACTTGATGATTAATAATTTATTTTAGGTTATTGAAAATCGTCATAAGTCCTAATTTTGACACTTTAGTAGCCTAAACAGTAAGCCAGGCATATTGTTATTCATGCCTAACAATGTTAAAATACACCAATTACAAGATCTTTTGCAATATCAAAGCTGAGTGAGAGCTTTCGCCCTTTATCTCTCAGCCATCAGCCCATGCATGGGTGGTCTGCTATTAAGAAACAATCCTGAAAGAAACCACTCTAACAGTCACCTTCTGCAGCCTTAATGATCCATAGATATATAGATATATAGATAGATGGTAAAAGCCAGATTCGATTTGAGTAGAATTTGGTATAGGTGTAATTATTTAGGAAATACTATTTGATCCTTTACTTGTTCTTATAATTATTTTCAGCTCCCTTGGTACTGGAACATGGTAGTTTTCAGTAGGCAGATAGTGCAGTGTGCAATGACATGATCAATATTCCACAAGAATGAGTTCCTACAATGAAGCAACAATAGTAGTAGAAACAGTTTAAATGTTATTATTTGAAGAAAAAATATTTTTTACATACAATTTTGTTTTATTTGTATTTTGGCCTGTATAATCTGATGGTTGGAATAACATGCAGAATAAGAATGCACATAAAAAAGTTGTGATTCCAATAAACTTTTGTACCTGTTTATTTAATTTTGAAGACAAGCTTTCCTTTCGACCTCATTACCACTAGGGCTAACCAGCTTCTGGGATTTGTGATTAAATCGTCTAAGGGCTTCAAGAGGCCACAAAGTGCCCTCTATCTTTTTTACTATCATGAGGAGTATGGAAGTCCGGTATGGTCTCCATACTACAGAGTCCATAGTGACGATATTGAAAGGGTGCAGAAGTTCCTAAGAATATTAGGCTATTGTCTGCAGTCAGGTCGTTCTGACATAAATTATGAATCGCCATAGGTATTTTGATTTAGTATATATTTTGTACAAAATTTTACACTCCCATATAGATTCCATGGAACTTCTGTTAAATATTTCTATCAACAGCCACTTAAGAGCCTGAAATTCGATTTTGGTAAACCTCTTTGTGTTACGGACATATAAAAATAATATATCATACTTTAAACCCTTTGGTGAGAATGGTCGGGCAGTTTTTTTTATTGCTTAGATTTTAGATGGTTGGACTAGTTCATAGCCCACCTTGTGTTATGTGGTTACGGGAGCCCATAGACATTATGACGTAAATGCGCCACCCACCTTGAGATATAAGTTCTAAGGTTTCAGTATAGTTACGGCTGACTCACCCTTCAAACCGAAACGCATTACTACTTAAAGGCAGAAATAGGCGTATAACGATTTGGCTAAATGTCACGTCACGGTGACCTTGATATCTTTGAACTTTAAATGTATCTCATGCTGTTTTGAGGTTATTAATAAAATTAAATAACTTTTTTTTAAGGGATTTTATGACCCGGTAACTGAGATCTTTAAGTCATGTCTTATTTTAATTTTTATTCATATTTTTATGAAAAATGATATTATGGAGTGAAATGAAATGAAGATGATTAATTTGAGACATTAATCAAACGGGATGAAATTAAATGAAATGAAATGAGATTATATGGGATGAAATATAATCTCAGTAAAATGGTGGTCATTTACTAAGATTTTTTCAGTGGACTTTTTGGAGGATCCCAAGAAGTTACGTCCAGCGGCTTTGTTTCATTTTCCCACTTTTGTGCACTTTCACAGATATTAAACAGTTAATAAACCACCATTATTACACATTTAAACCCGAAGAAACACTAAATAGACAAAATAAAACAAATCACACAACTTCACTCCTCACGTTCCCGCCAAAAACTCAATGAAATAGCTGACATTGAATCGTACACAGATAATAAAAATATTGACAGAAATGATTTTTTTTCTACCTAAGCCAATAGCCTTGAGAGGCTATATCAGCGTAGCCTTAACTAGTAGGTGAGCTCACGGGGCTCAAATCTGATGACGTTGCTAACTAAAAATATTTACATTGAAAACATCACCTAACCAATTGCTCAAAATGATTTTTCAATAATAAAGAAATGCAAAATGCCCACTCCACATTTACGATGTTATTTGTAACTACTCACACTATAATTTGCCAAGTGCCATCCCAGGCAAACACAGAGCCACAAGTTTGTCTGTACTTCTTAATGGCAATTATCTGTCTTACTATAGTAGAGTTATTTTGTCGCTGCAGTTTGGGTCATAAAAAGTGGGAGCGGTGATGCGAATATTTCGCTCTCTTCCACTCACGAGCCTTATGGACGGGCATAGTGATGCTCATTTTTGTTGTCGATAAGCGTTATCGATAGTGTATTTAGTTTTGTCATTTTGTGGGTTAGTGATAAAAGTGAAAGAAAAAAATTGATAAAGCAACGTATAAGTACAAAAGTTTAGAATACAACAAGTCACAGTTGGTTTCATTAATAACGACTTCGGTTATAACGACTTTTTGGTTATAGCGAAGTCCCATTTACGTCCCTTGAATTTAAAGCATACTTTCCTAGAAAATTCATTCGGTTATAGCGACTTTGGATATAGCGTCAATTTCGGGTATAGTGACTTGTTTTTATGAACCATTTATGACAGATTCCCAGAAACCCCTTACGGATATTGGTATTGAGTCGGCAAAGGCATAAAGACTCTTTCATAAAACTATTAAGCTTTCTCATCTTTTGTTTACATTCACAGATGGTCAAGCAAATGCTTTGTTTGTATGTACATACAAACAAACAAAGCATTTGTTTGACCATCTGTGTAGGAACATAGAAACAAAGCATTTGCTTGACCATCTGTGCTAAGTAGTCCTCTACTAAGCACGGGAAACTCATGTGAATATTGACGATCAAGCTATCATCGAGTCTGTGCTTCAAACACAAGAAAAGGAGGATGAAGAAGAGGAAGAAGATTGCAATCTAAATGAAATTGCATAGCCGTGGAAGGATATTCACCGTCGCAATAAAACGATGACACTATTTGTTTAATTACACTTTTGTCAAAGTCGTCTAACGCAGTTACTGTACAAGGCCGATTGACCCTTTCTCGTGGAGAGCTAACTTCTCCCTTTACACACTCATTTTTAATTTTGTCGACCGTTCTAACACTCACACCACATATCGCCGCAGCAAGTTCACGAGAACGGCAGAAATTAACAGTTTGTAACTTGTTAGAATCTATTTTCATTTCAGTGAAAAAATTTAAAACATTGATAACAACACGTGCTTGTGCTGGTATATTGATGCCAACAGGCAAAATATTATTTTGAATAAATTGTGTCGTTTTGGTACAAAACAAAGGAGTAGCCATTGTGTCACTAAAGAAATTCAGAGAACGAATGCACAAAAACAAATTTCTCTTCGACATAATAATATATACTATGACTGTCTTCGATGACTCATTTGTTTCTATCGATAATGGCGTTGCGCCCGCGCAACATGCTCACCGCCCTAGCCCGGCTGTGTTTTATGACCCAAATTGCAGCGACAAAATAGCTCTACTATAGTTCCCATAATTTGTCCATAGTAGTAACTTAGTTTGATAAAGTGGAGTCCGAGGATGTTTCGGGATTACCACAGAGACTAAAGTTAATGATAATAAAACACTTGACAATAAATTACACTGAAGTTTATTTCATCCTGAATACATATTGACTGATGGTACTTATATAAACTTGCATATTATGCAAACATCTCACAACTTCGTTACGACTCATTCCACATACACTTCTTATGCCCGAGGAAACCGATTCACATTTTTTAATTTATCTAAGTAGTTATAAATTCTAAAATTTGATAATATTGTGAAATTTAAGCATTCTCTGAGTTATTCCACTAAATCCATTTAGCATTGAAAATAAACGATCATGATAATTATAAAATTGATTTAAGTTCTTCATCGATATATTCTATACAATTTCAACTAAAGCACGCTCAGAACGGGAGGGGGCAGGCCGGGGTGCAACCATACGTCCAAACGAACACTATACAATTGTATACATTTGTAAAAGTATCAAAATCGAGTAAAGGCCTACAAAAAATTATCTCGAGATACTAATATATTCGTTCACGTTGTAACCTAAAAATTGTCCTATGTGACGCACTGGGGCCCCGGGGGCCGGGGTATTAACTATTCGGCTTAATCATATTTACTTTATTTATATAATGAGATGAGCGCGAAACAAAAGCGGCAGTCGCGGCCGGTCGCTACTCGTCCGCCTCCTCCTCCTCCGACTCCTGCGCCTGCAGCCACGTCAGCCACGTGTTCACCTGCAACCAGACAACCGAGCCGTTAGTGCGGGTCGGCCCCCGCCCCCAACCCCGCCCCGCCCCGCGCGCCCCACGCACCTGGAACAGAGCCTCTCCCTTCCCCGGGTACGCGTCGGTGACGTCTTCTCTCCAGCGCAGAAACGCTTCCTCCTCGCACACCTCCATGTTGTACAGGTACATGAACCAGCGCAGCAGCATGCCTGCGGGACGTCGGGGTTCGAGTAGTCTAATCGGCCTTATCGGCACAGGCCTCCTGCTTTGTAAGATCTGTCCGCACCATTACACATTCAACACGATGACCAGCTCCAGTTGCCCCTTGAGCAATTAAACTATCAAGGGAACAGTGCCGACGACTGCTGAGAGAGGGAAGACAAGGGGGCCAGCAGGTTGATGTTACGAAATGTTGTCGATGGCTTTATATAACACAGCTGCAGGTCGAGTCACTTTCAATTCAAGCTTTCTGAACGTAAGTTAGATATAGTAAATCTAAAAGTTAAAAAAACACACAGTTAAGCTCGTTTCGGTAACGGGGTCAGCACTTCCGAGCGTGTGACGTCACTGCTATTGATACACTTGTCTTGATAATCTTAAGAATGTCTACCGTAATCTTGGGGAATTGAAATATAAAACTCATTGAAATTGGAATTGGCAAAGTTATCAAATTATGAATATGCTTCAGAAGCTGCTTCGTATTCATCCATCGGCATACGCCACACGTGCACGGGTAGGCAGCAATAATAAAGAGGGTTTTGAACCTTTAAGTACCGCACAGTGAGCTGAATGCCCCAGGTTGTGCTCCATTTTGCAATTGTCGGGACAAATATTTATAAATAAATTATTATAATTTAATTGAATCTATCTAAGACTCTAATATTCATATTGCAAAACCGAGAGGTAGGTACCTTCAACACTTCGCAGCGCATTCGGAGGCGCCGTCACAGTCGACCGGCGCGCAGCTCCCGCGCGCTAATATTATAGGTTGAGGATTCAGGAGCTGGGCATTCAGCTCGCATTAAGCAGAAACATTGTCCAGGGACACTGACCCTTGGGGTAGTGGTGGGCGTGGGCGTGCACCTGCACGGCGTACACGGCGGCCAGCTGCAGGTCCAGGCGGGCGTCCAGCAGCGCGCGCAGCAGCGGCGCGTAGGGCTCCAGCAGCGCCTTCTCGCGCTCCAGCGCCGCCTTGTCGGGCGCGGCGGCCGCGGAGTCTGCGCCCGCCGTCACGTGCTCGGCCAGCAGGCCCACCAGCGCCGACACGAAGCCGCCGGTGTGGCGCACGGCCGCCTCCACGTTGGCCTTGATCCAGCGGTACAGCGGCTGCGGCGCGGGCTCGGCGGCCAGCTGGCGGGCCAGCGCCGCGCGCACCTGCAGCTGCGGCACCAGGCCGGCCAGCCCGCGGGCCTCCAGCGCCTCCAGCGCGCCGTCCGCCCCGACGCCGGCGTGCGCGCACAGGTTCAGCTTGCTCTCGGCACAGAGCTGCCGCAGCCGCTCGAGGCCCACCAGCTCGCGGACTTCCTGCAGCACCTCGAGCAGCAGCGGGTGGTGTTGTTCGCTTTCGCACCACGACCCGATCTCGCTCAAGGTGACCAATTTCTGAATAGCAAATAGTTTCGGTTAAACCTTAACGTTTGAACGGTACGGGTTCTGGTGGGGGCGGCGGGTACCTGCGTGAGCGCGTGCGCGAGCAGCAGCGGCAGGCGCGGGTGGTGCTGGGGCAGCAGCGCGCGCAGGGCGTCGGAGTGCGGCGCGCGGCGGGCCCGGCGCACGACCAGCACGGCGGCCAGCTCGCGGCCCGGCTCGGCGCAGAGCGCGGCCTCCAGCGCGCCGGCGAGCGCCCTCCGCAGCACCTTCTCCGGCACGTCGTCGAGGCGGCGCAGCGCGGCCAGCCCCAGCTCGCCGTCCTCGCCGTCCGCGGCCACGGCCTCCACCGCCTCCGCCGCCAGCTTGCACGCCTCCTCCTTGCTCACGCCCTGGAAGCCGCTCATCTTCCTTCAATCCATAGAAAGTGAAAAGCAGAGAGCACCGCGGAGGCTCACGACACCACCACCAAAAATAAGGTAATTTGTGTTATTCCTTCATCGCGGAAGTCATTCGTGAACAACAAAACTTAATTGCTGAAGAGCGCGGCGACGTCCAACGACCTGGCTCGTCATTGCGCTTCAACAATGGCAAACTCGAACGAAGCTAGTATTAGCTGGTCAAGATGAAACCCCAACGCAAGCTGCCAAGCCTCAAGACACTGTTAACTCTCTTGGTGTGCAAAGAAACAAATGTCAATAAATAACTTTATAGTACAATATTCAAAGTTTGATATATAACGTGAACGCAATATATAATAAAATAGCTTTTGCCCGCAACTTCGTCCGTGTGGAATAGTTACTTTGGCATAACGCTAAATTTTACCCGCGACTTTATTTAAGTAGAAAGTGAAAATATTTTTGAATAATAGAATGTTAAGGAGCTATTTAATGAACCAAAATCACGCTTTTTAACCGACTTCAAAAGAGGAAGTTATCAATTCGACCATAATTTTGATTTGATTATGAAACATTTTTTATTGGTGCTCCGCTTGTTTTGGTCTTAGCATGATATTATATATATATATAGCCTTCCTCAATAAATGAGCTATCTGACACTGATTTTCAAATCGGACCAGTAGTTCTTAAGATTAGCGCGTTCAAACAAACAAACTCTTCAGCTTTATAATATTAGATATAACAAATAACAAAATAAAATGAATATGTGCGAGATTAAAATCGTAAAAAATGTTTGAATTTTGAAAGAAGACCCGGCAGCCGGGGGGCTCGCGGGCTACACGAGCCCTGACACGAGCAGGGTTCGCTGAGTCTAACAACGAATCGAAGAGCTCAAAGGAGCGCTATGTACCAATTCTCATAGTCTCTGTAAAAGTTTGATGTCTGATTAAAGAATGCAGATTATTCGAGTAGCACATCCCTTACCTTGTCCTTTTTAGGTTTCTCTTTTTTATCCGGCGCCGGTTTGATTGTGATGGCGGGCTCCTTGTAGCGCGGCGCGGAGCTCACGAACGAGGGCGACAGCGCGTCTGCGGACGAGACAACACGCGGGGTTAGCGCGGGGCCGGGGGCGGGGGGCGAGGGGGCGGCGGGCGAGGTGGCGGGGGGCGGGGGCGGGCGGCGCGCACTCACTCTGCGGCACGGGAGGCAGCGGCGCGTGGTGCTGCGGGCCCGCCGGCTTGGACAGCTTGTTGGCGGTGAACATGAGCGAGTTGGCGGCCGGGCGCATCTGCAGGTCGGCCAAGTGCGTGTGCAGCGCCGGCCGAGCCTTCGGGCGGGACTCCTTGTGCGCGGCGGGGGGCGGCGTCTTGTGCGGCGTCGACAGGTGCAAGTGCGAAGAGCGCCGGAAAGCCAGCGCGTCCGGCGCGGCGCCCGGCAGGTGCAGCTGGGCCAGCACCTCGTCCAGCGGCCGAGCGCGCCGGAACAGGGGCTCGCGCCGGGGCAGCTCTTCGTCTCGCAGCTGCGCCATCGGCACGGGCGCCTCCCCGGCCGCCGCCGCGCGGGGCACCCAGCCGCCGCGCCGCAGCTCGGCGACATCGCGCAGCATGAAGCGGATGCGCGGAGCCAGCTCCTTGGACTGGGAGAGCGTTTCGATGCGCGCGAAGTACTGCTCCATGAGGCCGCGGCCGCGCTCCGAATCCAGGACGCGGCCGCACGTACGCACGAGCTGCGCCAGACACTCCAAGTCCTCCTGATGTTCGGCGGCAGCGCGGCGCGCCAGCAGATTCTGAATGCATCGATGCAATATCGACTCGGACAAGATTTCGAGCTTGCCCAGCTCTCCGATGAACTTTATGTTGCCGAGCATCTTGCATTTGGCGAGGTGTCTCTTTTCTTCCTCTTCCGGCGATAACGTTTTATCCTCGAAAGCGGCGAACGCCTGGAAGGGAGACCAACGATTAAGGCAATGAAAGCAGATGTGAGTGCGTTTAACTTACAAAACCAGATCAGAAGTATGCGTTACCTGCGTCCGATTTTCAAATTCAGTGCGACATTTGTTAAGCAACAAAAGCTTAAATGTGCACGGCTGACCCGGCGGCTCGAAGTTGGGAGCCTCTTCGCTGAGCCGCTTGCAGAGCTGTGCGTACATCGACGAGTACTTAGGCTCGTCCAGGGCTTTCTCAAAAATGAGAAGGATGACGCCCTTGAGGACCCTGTCGGAGTCCAATTCGAGCCCGAGGAGATCATCGCTCAGCTTTTGAAATTTCTCCGGCGTGAGCTTGTTGAGAATACCACGAACCTACACAGAGGACGGCCGGTCAGAAAGCATGAGGAGAGTTGGATACCTGAGGAAGGAGCTGGATGCATCATACCTTGCGGAATATGATGTCGTACTTGGCATCTCCGTCGGGCACGTCGTGATGTCTGAGTGATGAGGGCGGGACCCAGCGTCGCCGCGGGGGGACTGGCGTCCGCCCCGAGGCGATGCGCGCGGGCCCCGGTTGCCGCGCGCTGTCCGTCTTGCTGCCGGTGCTGTCTCCCGCGAGCGTGCCGCTGTCGCCGCCCGCTGCCGTCTCTGCTTCGTGTGTGTACGCCTACGCGAAGATAGCCTGCGTGCACACCACATCGCATCACATTATTCGTGTTCACAAAGGTTCATCGTGAGTGCGCCACCGTTACTATCTGATTTGTAATTTTCTTTGAAATTTATGGTCACGGCAGGTATTGAGGTCTCTTCTCAGTCGATAGTGCGCGACCACTACAGGGGGGACGAGGGGGTTTCGCTTTCGGATTTCGCGTGGTGATTATGATCTCCACTCCACGGGTGAGTAATGGTCTCACCGCCTGGCGGACCCGTCTACAGGCGACAATCCACCCAGTCTTCTTGGACTCTAGCCACCACTGCAGTGGTTGCGAACAGGACACGGCGGAGTACACGTTTGCGGAATTCTGCGCTTCCGAGGTACAGTAGCGCCGCGTCCTCGTCCGGTGATAGGACTGACTCTGTTGCTGCCGACCGTCATTACTAACTTGCTCGGCAGCGACGAGATCTGGTACACGATTGTAGTCCTCTGCGAGTCCACCATCTTGCAGATAGAGACGGTGGACTAGTAGAGGGAGACCTCTTCTTTCCTCTCGGCGCCGTGCCGCCGCCGTCGTGCCGAGTTCAGAGGAAGTTGTTCGTTCAGCTCCGACCCTGTGAGGAGGCAATCTCCTTCAGGTGATGGTCACGGGACAACCTGAGGGGGTCGAGGCTGCATCGCACGCTACGACCACTCTATCGCACTAGCTATCCTCCTAGGAAGAGGCGACGCGGCGGCGGCTGGCACCCCCGAGGCGCGGAAACCTCATGTGTGAGGTTCGGTCCTCTGCCCGAAAAGAAAGATATTAAGGTCTTAGTATGAAAAACAGGAGTGTTAAGTATATTATAAGCTGGATAACACTATTTTTTCATCGGGTGGAAATTTACTTGTACACATTAGCTTTTATATTTTAAATTGTACACTATGCTTTCGGATATATTAATTTATAAAAATAAAACAGATAATTTGCGAGTTTTCAATTAACTATTTAATTAGCTACTAATGATAGGTCATTAAACCGATACACTTGATATCATATTATCGTCATATACTCGTACAGTGCACAAAGCCTTCACATCGATTGCACAATCTCTTGTTAATTTCGACTACGCACACAACTCTACCGCGACGTCACAAAAGAGGAACTTGACCCTGATCGATTCATGTCGCTATTCTTAGGTCGAATAGACGCGTAGCAAGTACATACATTACTTTATTTAAAGAATACGAGTACAACAGTTGCCATGTTTGCCGCGTATCGTACTTGACAGAAACTTATTCGGAAGCCGGCGGCGCTCGCGACGTCGCGTCGTCTGCACGGTGTCGGTAAGAGCATCGATGAAAATTTATTTGTACTTTAAAGAGTGCGGTACTCATAGAACGGTAATTATGAATAAAAAGAATAATAATATTTAAGAACCAGAATCAGAAGTTTAATTTTAAACAATGACTTTTGTGTATATGTATGTGAAGGTACGAGTACAGGAGGATTGCGAGGTATAGGAACATGCTCGACCGTGTCCCGTCGGTGACGTCATTTCTATCATGATTCATTGCCGAACAAGCAATTGGAGGCGGGTGCGATCACACAATTTGTTCTGTCAATACGCTATATAGCAAGCACATCGGATGCTTGTAGCCGTCCGTGGCTCTATCGTTCTGTCAATACACTTATTCAACACATTGTTGCCTTCTAGAGCTCTTCTGTAGGCGTTAGTGTAATGGCGTTGATTGGTGCAGCTCAGTCGTGGCGAGCTGTTCGTAGTTCGTTCACAAAGCCCAGAATTCTTGCGATTTGCTAAATGTTCATTTCTGTACGGTACCGACACAAAATTGGGGCAGATTTGTTTTGCCGTTCTCGATCCGGTACGTATAGCCACTATTTTTTTTATTTTTTTGCCCGTGTAGGCCCACCTGATAGTGAGTGATTGCCGTCGCTCATGGACCAGCGTAGAGCCAAGCCGCTGCCTACTGTTAAGTACTCTCCACAAGCCTCGTTTGAAGAAGGACATGTGATAGCGCTCGGGACACACCGTAGAGGGGAGCTCATTCTAAAGCCGGATGGTACGTGGCAAAAAAGATCTCTGGAAACGCAATGTGGATGAACGCAGTGGCTCCAGTTAGTACAGATGAACTCTACTCCGGTGGCGGGCGGTGCGTGGTATATTATTATTGAAGTAACCAATTGTAGCAGATCTATGCAGCGTTTATGTTACCGCCTCTTGTCGCGCTTGCATTGCCATCGATTTCGGTTGTGTATTCTATCCTCAGCTTTCACCGGTTAGCGGAACCCCCGTGTGCATTCATCCCACACAATTAGTTAGGCGCTACGCAAAAGTCGATCTTTGTCACTGTTTCGAGAGATGACTCAAATCGGCTTTTCAGTACTGTCCAATTGTAGAGCGAATTTCATTAAAGTCAACGAATAAATAATTAAAAGGTAAAGATGTAGTTCAAAATCTGAGTGCCGCATTACTGTTAATTATTACGTGTATGTTATATGTATTTGTTTATTGCATTATTGTAGACAGAAAGAGCATTTTCCAATCTGGAGAGTTGACGAGAGCAGAGCGGGCGTGCACGGTCGATACGAGTATCGGCGGGTCGTCGGCCGGCGGACGCCCAGCGGCCCGGGCGCGGCTGCTGCAAGGTCGCCGCCGCCGCCGCCGCCGACACAGTGTCACCTTCGTCTTCTTATCGTTTCACTTTCTTCGATGAATTACGTTAAATATATTAATACGTTCTAATAATATTTCAGTTGAAGCATACACATGTAGTTGTATATTTTTCTTGCAATAAGTTTCTAGGACGGCTACCTTAATTGAAACCGGACACAAATGTGTTGCCGACACATTACGAGTCTATTGTGCATAATGGCGTTGTGAAGACGCATGGGCAGACCGTAGCAGACTCGCGGGACAGGGACGTAGAATGAAAGCTGTGCTCAGAGGGGACCTGTTCCTCGCTACCGGCGTACTTACAAATTAAACCTTAACTTCATTTTCGGTAAAAACGAAGTTCCAAGAAATCCGAGGGGTTGCAATAAACGCAAAAACTATGAAAAATTCTGGAATATGAATTGGCCGGATTGGGGCTTGACGCCGCCCTTTCTTGCCACATGCCATCGAGTAGCCAGAGACAATTTTGCTTCCATTCACGAAACTAAGAATGACAGAGCACACAGTCAAGGTCTATTCAGACATATTTGTGTGAAGCCAGGCGCCAGACGACAGAAGAATCATAATGCAAATTGATTTGAAAAGAGGTACCTACGTAATGGAGTGTCAATTATGGTATGGGCAGGTATTTATACGAGGGCACGTTCGGAAGGAAATCCACGCGATTGAAAATGAGTCACTAACAACGATACAAAATGTAACGGAGATTTTCGACGAAATTGTAGTGCCCTCCGTCCCTTTCATAAGATACGAATGTTGTTATTATGCTAGTGGCCCTGCAATCGATGCTTATGGGGCAGCCAACAAGCAAGACAGGTAAAGAACATAAATTACGCGTCCGTTAATTAGAGAGATCTTGCAAAGGTGAACAGTATAATATTATGCGTTTATTGACACGGACGCGGGGTCAGTGAACCCGCGCGCCGCGATCATCCCTTAGTGACGTTCCGCGCGACGAGCCCCAGGGCATCCCGGCGCGGTCGTCGACCCGCCCCTGCCCCGCCCCCGCCCGCACCTCACTGATTTTCGATAATCTTACGGCCGGTCGTGAGCAGAGGTGCGAAACTACGTACCTACGTCACCGCTACTCATTCGCGACCTACACAAGTACGTGCACTACATACTCGCCGTACTAGTAATATCATATACTATGTACATACTACATATTATATACATATATTTATAGAATGATCTAGGTAATACATTTCCCATATTTTATTTTTACGACAAAGCTTTTGTTGATTCTACTTTAATGTATTAGAATAAGTTTGCGATAATTCATTAACAAAGAAGCCTTGTTGAGGAATATATATACGTCGCGGTGAGTACGTGTCCGTCTGTAATCGGTCATTTGTTAACGTGTTTAAATAGTATAATCGGACAGATTTTCTTTGTTATGCAAAGTTGATAGGAGACAAATCGCGTGCACGTTGAATGTTCCGTGGCTCGATCTCACGGGTTCTAGCGGTCGCGCGCCAGGTGATCGACCAATGCTCATATAAAGGCTACAGCACATCCCCACACGACGACTCGGTTACTAAGAACGTATCGGACCTTCAGCACTCGCTGCGCAGCGGATCCGCAGTCAGCCATCGTATTGAATCGTATGTTTCAACATAGTCTAGAGAGATTGAATGTTAACAACAGTTTTTTGAACTCTCACTGTCCGTAACTAAGAAAACGGGTATATATTTGCGACGGTCGCGCGACGGGGAATAGCTTCAACACGGGGGCTCGAGCTTTGAGGGCGACGTGATAAATAAATAATATTATTTACACGCGATGTGATACAGTTGAGCAACGCTGTGATGAGAGCTGGTGGAGGTGTTGTTGTTGCAAATACGTTTCTCACAAAGATTTTCTGTTAATTACGTGATGGATGTTCAACTTCTATTTTCGAAACATCCGTTGCATGTTGCCCTTTCGTAATTAATATTCATGTCTCACTATACCATCACTCATGTACATATATGATTTTTGTCGACGAGGACAAAAAGGTGTTGGGGAGCAGTAACGTAATCTGTATATTATATATAAATATCAATTGCTGTTCGTTAGTCTCGCTAAAACTCGAGAACGGCTGGACGGATTTGGCTAATTTTGGTCTTGAATTATTTGTGGAAGTCCAGAGAGGGTTTAAAAGGTATATAAATATGAAAATGCTCAGAATTAAATAAAAATAACAATTTTGTTTTTCCTTTGATGTATCCCCCGTCGGACGCATTCCTTTTGTTTGTTTTAAGTTTATTTTATACAAAAGTTTAAGTCTTTTATTTATCGATTGAGGCACTACGTCAGCCGGGTCAGCTAGTAATTAATATAAATCCCGACAAGAGTCGTCGGACTCTTCACCAGGGTCGCGTATTCGTCAATAAAAGCGCAAGGCAGAACGAAGGGTCGGGTCAGAGGGGTGCGCGACCCACTTGCACCGGCTCGATGGAGCGGCGGCCCACTATGTTACCATTGACCCAGTTCCCCCTCCGCCCTCTGCGCCGCTCTTCCACCTCTGCAAGCCCCATGTGACCAGGCGTTGCCTGCTTCGCCTACTGAACCCATCTACCCCGACTTTAATCAATTACATAATGCTATATTTGAAAACTAGCCAAATACGCAAAAACGACCTTCATGGTTACTTATTAATATACAAAACTATCAATGTTTTCTTTTTTAATAGTTATGACTACAGATTCATCCGTGGAACAATAACATGTGTTATTAAGTGCATTGTGATATGCCATAGTAAGTACATTCAAGAAAAAAATTATCATCATTAAAATTCTTGTAGGACATGTCATGACAATGAAAATGTTGGTCCACGAGCACAAAAGTGCCGTAACAGTAAAATGCAGGGCTCCTTTTGTTCAAGACCCTCACCAAATTATTTTCAATAAACCTTTTTCATGTCAAAACCACCATGAGTTGGTTTTTTTATTTAGTGTGATTTATACAAAGAGAGTTCTGGAAAGCCACGGGTGGCATTATTATAATCCAGTTTATGTCCCTTAATAGTTCTTTCTAAACAAGACAGCAACAATGGTATTCCATAGTCACTTTCAAATGTTCTAATAATGTTATGAATTGTATCCATCACAACTACCATCAAGACATTCAGATGTCATAATCGTCTTAAAAGTAGTAAATCTCAGATGTTGCAACAGCATGAATGGTTCTAATTGTTTCATCAACATTATCATCAGCCTGTAGCAGTCCACTAAATGTTTATATGCACTAAATTATTAGAAATATTCTGAACTATTTACACATTAACATTAAACTTTCTTGCTTAAATTAGCTTTATACAAATTAAAATGCTGTCATTTCAAGAAACATATCTACTTAGCCATGTTGACATCCCAATCTTATATGGAATAGTAACTTGCTTGCTTATTGTTGTTTATATAAGAGAATTGTTGATAAATAATTACAATATCAAATTATAAGTAGAGCACAGGCCAAGTATTGATCAGACTATACATAGTCTAAAATGTAGAGACTAAGATACACAATAGTGTTTCTTGTCTTTCGAGTGAAAGAAACAAAACAGTTAAACACCTGATTTGTTTTTTTTTTTAAATGGAGCACTATTTATTGTTGGTTATGTTATTATGATTATTCAATAAATTCATAGTTATTATGAGATTGACAATATTATCAAGGTGTTTGTTATTCATTTTTGTAGAGATATCATTCAATTACAGTGAAATTTAAATCACTCTCATTGCTTAAAATAAATGTTGTTATTTAATAAATTATTTAATTTAATTAATTAATTAATTTAAAATTGTTTTTTTTTCTCAAATCCAAGATTAAAATTTTAACATGGCATTTTTTCAGACTTGCTTCATATCATTATGGGCATGGTAAATAACGTAGTGTAAAGGGCGTTAATGAATTCACTAAGCCACTAAATATAATACTAGCAATCTTGCCAAAGACAAATCTCCATTCAAGCGACACTAAGTAATTGTCTCAGATTCAGCGTTTTATGAAACGTGAAAAGTGCACGAATAACAGTAATGCGGGGGAAATGGCGAAGCGGAGGACGCGATCGTCGGCAGCTTCAGTCTACTAACTAACGCCACTGAACATCTGTCTTTTGTAGCGAGGTTAGAATGCTCTGTGCAACACTTTGTTTAATAATCAATAAAGTATCTATTGATTTCCACTAATCCAAAAAATGTATATTGGTGATTTCAGAAGGTAAACGGGCTTTCAGAGTAATACTAATGAGGAAATGTTTAAAATGGCTCACAAAGGTGACGCATCGACACGATCTAATCGTTTGATGGTTTCTCAACCTGGAGAGATTATATGCTCCATTGACACTAATTGCACATACACTGTGATTTGTATGACACTAAATACACCATTTCAGTATTAATTTTTCAAACTTACGAGGCGTTGAAAGTCAATTTGTTGAAAGTACGCGAACTGCCACACAACAGCTCAACTCGTTCGCACGCACGCAACTGACGAGTGTTGCCATTATTCCACATAAGTTGTAGCATTTCCATTTTTCTACCAGGAAAGGCGTAGGTAAGTACTCCATACAACCTAATCATTCAGATTTTCTGTTATAATAAAATATATGTATGGACTAAAATGAGTTGAAGTTGAGACTTTGATTAATTGGAATGAAACTAAATGAAACGAGATAAGATGACATGAATAAGGTCTCAGCAAAATGGTGGCTATTTACTGAGATTTCCATGAAATTTTGGGAAGCCACATCCAGCGGCTTTGTTTCATTTTCCCATGTTTATGCACTTTTCTGATAAATAAAATTTCACGGTGAACATGTTCTGACTATTACACTTTTAAACTTGAAAAATCAATAATTAGGTATCAAAAGAAAATAATTCACACTACTTTATCTACCTCGTTCTCACCAAATATGTTGTTTTTAAAATGTTAGGTCAGGTTTTAGATCCTTAGGTAGGTCATTTTTAATGTGGAATTGATAGCAGAGCCATTAGCAAAGTAAAGACCTGCTGTTGGTTGTGTACCAAAGTTAAAAGAAAATAAAAACATATTTACGTTTATAAATAAAAATGTTTGATCACACTGTCACTCACATTGTACTAAAAATACTAAATCTATGACTAGCACTCAAGTTATATTTACATTACAGTAACCTAGAGATATAGTAGAGCTGGTTTTCAGCTTCTTCGTTAGTTCTTATGTGCAGTCGGGTTTTTGTTTCGTTTCATAATTTTATTTCACACATTTCAACTATCGGATTATCAATGAAATCAATTAGTTTTGGATGCAGGTCCGAACTGTAAATCTTGTTTCTATGATCTTTATTAGAATACAGTAAATCATTCTTTTTCTTCTTTCTTATGTACTTACTGCGACAATACACACTATGTAACTTTCATAACTGAGACGAATCTAATTACTTCTAATATTTTGCACCCCGTTAAAAAGGTTGAGGTTGCAGATTTTCTTTCCCTAGCTATTCACTAGTAACCTAAGGAGTTGTTCCCGCTACGCCCGGACAGGTGAGCTCACGGACTCAGCCTCAGAGAATTTGCTAACACTAGCTCTAGCAAGAGTAGTGCTTCGCAGAATCTACCACCGGATCAGAAGCGCGACCCACTGAGAAGATCCGGCGAGAAACTCAGTGGGCTGTGTCTATGGGTTAGTTAGTTCGTCGAGCTTGTCGCATTCCTCAATAACCTTTATTAATAATCTTGGCTCGTGTTATTAGGTTCCTTTACACATAGGTGCCTCACAAACCCTATGTCGTAATCGACGAGTTCGACGCGGACGGTGATGAGTTTGTATCCGGGGAACCCGACAAGAGATGTTTTGGGCGACAGCGGCTTTGCTTTGCCCCGTCGCCTGAGTCAGATTAGTAATTAACGTCGGCCACGATAAGAGGGTACACGATATCGTGTCGCGCCGCATTGTCACAGTAACGTTCTGACGCTACTTTAAGATACTTACGTATCGGTTCTAAGATTAGATCGTCGTGAAGACATTATTCATGTGCTGCGGTGCTCCGACGGCTACCCTGCAAGGGGTTGTAGAGCGTGCTAAAAAAATTGACATGCATCCAAACGCACATACATATTTTTTTTATTGCTTAGATGGGTGGACGAGCTCACAGCCCACCTGGTGTTAAGTAGTTACAGGATATAAGTTCTAAGGTCTCAAGTATAGTTACAATGGCTGCCCTACTGTCCTGTTCAAACTGAAACGCATTACTGCTTCACGGAAGAAATAGGCAGGGTGGTGGTACCTACCCGCGCGGACTCACAAGAGGTCCTACTACCAGTATGACTTGTTTTGGCATCGCTGACGACCATGAGCGACAGTTGACTGTACCCACTCGCCGTCAGGTGGGTCGGATGCTCGTCTGCCTACAGGGGCAAAAAATGCGTTGGAAAAACATTACTGTTGGGGTCCAAGGGGAAGTTTTGTTGAGTTCCAAAGAGTTAGTGTGTTGTTTGAGCATCTTTATTATATTGGTAAAGGACAGATGTGGCGTCTTAACGAGTGCGTGTTGCTAAGTGCACTGCTCTAAGAATATAATAAAATAACCTGACACCACAATGACGACGCACGGCGTGTCCACGTATTAGTTAGGTATGTGCAAACCGTACAATTACCCTTCTCTGCAGTCGGGGATCCTCTCTGGGGACGGCCTTGGGCGCGGAGCATATCACGTTGTCTCCCTGTCGCGAGGGTTCAGGGAGCTGGAAGGCGACGTTCAAGACGTCGGCAAGGAATGGAAGAGAAACACAGATATAACCATCGGTTCTTTATTTCCGAAACCAGCGGGTGCGAGGGGTCGCCTCGATGCGTTCTGATTAAAGTAACATTACATTTCTGGTCCCGTGTTGTGACGGCTCTGCTTAGAGTTACAGATTCGACAAAGTACATTTCGTTATCGCAGAGCGCACAGGATCCTGTTTATGACGAGGCATCTGATACATAGTGTATTATATATTGTGTACTTAAAATAGTCACTCAATCGATCTTGGAAATATTGTCCCCGGTGCGAGCACATTTTCGTCAGTATATTAGTATATAGTAATTATTAGTTTAGAGCGGGAGCTGCCTCGAGGTAGTCGAATAGCTGACGTCGTGTTGCGGCGGAAGTGCAACTTCATTTTTATATTTAAAATTAAACATAGGCCTCAACACTCGGAACTCACTACATTACATTATTTAATATCCCATCAACCATGTAAATAAATCCTAATTTTAAGTTAATAAGTAAATACAAACTCCTAGTGTTCACAAAATGACAAGGAGGGCGGTCCCTCCGCGGGTGACGTCACGCGCGCGGGGCTCACGGACTAAACGTCACTTCTACTCTCTAGTTAGTAGCTAAGTACAAGTGTGCGCAACTTGAACATTATCATGAGAGTGGCGTGCGGGCGGCTTCTGTGCGCCTCGGTGCGCCCCCGTGAGCTCCACGTGAGTGCGGTTGTGCGTTATGCATATACAACTAAATTATGAGAATGACCGAAGTGTGGCGGCATTGCGCGCCCTGTCGTCATCACAATCGCTTAAGTACAGTTATCAGCCTCGAAGTATCATTGAGCAATTTAAGTACAAAACGAGTTTGAGATTCATAGGCGTGTCCGAAGCTGCCGGGTGCGGCGGGTCCGTGTCATGATCAAGTAAAAGCTATATAAATATTATAAAAACGTCAATAAACAGTAATCGTTTACAAAAACATATCTCGTCTCCGCCGACTTCAACAAAAAAGCTGCCTATTTCCTAAAGTTGCACGCACACGAGCGATTGGTCCGTCATTATATTATATTGCATGAATACAAGTCCGGGGCAGCAGGCGGGCGCGGCTGCGGCTGCCCGCGCGGTCACATCCCGGACTCCGCGATGCCCTCGTCGTCTGCGGAAGGATCCAAGCGTTAGTACCGGGGAGGGGGAGGGGGACACTCCGGCGTCGCGAGTGCACAGGCGCATGCACTCATCACTACGGCGCATGCACCACATCAAAACCATATTCATATTACGATGCAGTTACTTTTGTTTTAAATTTGCATTGCACCGACATTTGAACGAATTTCAGCACATTTTTTCAACTCATAAGTGCATATAGAATAGAATGTTGTTAATATTTGTATTCAAATTCAGACAAACAAAAATTAGGCGGTCAGATCAGTAAAAGTTAGAACTTGTTATATCGCCGACCGTCCCCGCGCCGCCCCCGCCCGCCCCGCCCCGCCCCCGCTGTCTCCCACAAGCAACTGAAGCACTACGTAATTTTTTATTCACAGAAAATATGTGACCGAGGGCGGCTCTCCTGGGGCGGGGAGGGCGACTAACACGATTTACTTGTTCCCTATAATTTATTACATTGTATTTTTAGGAATAGATCATATTTATCCATTCCACTTGATATTATTGCTATTATCTGGTTAATAAGTACAAGTCAAGGAACATATCGGAGCAGGTACCAAGGGAGGGTTCTCTCAGGCGACCCCGGCGGCGGCCCGGGGGCGGGCGGCGGCTTAACTTGGAAGTGTCGTGAGCGGGATTCAAGCTTCTGTCAAGTATATTGTATGCTGTGGTAATTTCCGCCATAAGATGAAATTTTGTAATATCATTATTTGCATCTCAGAAATTCTTAATGTTGAACATTTTATCAGTATGGTAAGACTGCGAAAGGAAGATTGCAAGCGAGCAGAGACAGAGGGGCGTGGTGCTCACGTGGCCTCGCGCTCGCCGCCGCGCCCGCCACCGCGCCCGCCACCGCGCCCGCCGCCGCGCCCGCAGTCACTGCAGCGGGGGCGCCGTCGGGGCCGCACGCGCGCTGGGATCACTGTTACCTTCGAAGGCCGGGTTGTGGTGGTGGTTGTTGTTGTGCGGGGGCGTCAGGTCCTGGCCCTCCAGCACGGCCACGAGGCACTGGTGGATGCAGATGTACTGCTGCTCCGACTGCACCATGGCCACGCGCTCGCGGCGCATGTTGTACACCATGCCGAAGATGTCGACGTAGTCGTCGCGCGCCGCCAGCTGCTGCAGCGCCGTGTCCAGCGTGATGAAGGTGCCGGAGCGGCCCACGCCGGCGCTGCAGTGCACCACCACGGGGCGGCCGTCGGCCGGGCAGCGCTCGCGGAAGGCCCGCACGAAGCGCGCCAGCGTGGTGGGCGGCTCGGGCACGCCGAAGTCTGGCCACGTGGTGAAGTGGAAATGCAGCAGCACGCGCTGCTCCTTGCCGCGGCTCACCAGCAGCTCCGTGACGGTCCAGTCGGGGTAGCGGCTCTCGTTGAGCGCGGTCACGGCGATGTCCCCGTAGTACACGGGCCGCGTGTCGTAGGGCCAGTACCGGTCGCACTTCTCGCGGCCCTTCTCCACGCAGCGAGTCAGCATCACGACGGCGCGCGAGCCCGACTCCCAGCACATGCGCCAGAAGTCGTCCCGGGTGCAGTGCAGCGGGCCCTGCGTCACGATGAACTCCCGGGGCGAGTTGTACCCGGGCAGGTAGTTGGCGTTGATGTAGTCGGAGCCCTCCTCGTCGTCGACGGGCTGCAGCTTGTAGCGCGAGTGATCGTACGGCAGGATGTTGGTGAACCGGTTCTTGGGACGGTTCACGGGCAGGTCGGCCGCCGTGCACGGCTGCTCGCGGCCCACGTCCTTCAGCTCCTCGAACTCCTCGCTGAACCTGCACGGAAACGAGGCTCATGAGCGTCCGGCCGTCAGTCGCACGAGCGGGTCGCTAACGGAATCAGGAGCGCACTTGAAGTCGGAGTCGGCGGACATGGCTCGGTAGTGGTCGATGAAGTCCGCCACGCGCACGGGGCGGGAGGTGCGGCGCGGCGCGGGCGCGGCCGGTGCGCGCGCGGCCCGGCGGNCGGCCCGGCGGCGGCGGCGGGAGGCAGCCAGCGCCGCCAGCGCCGCGCCCGCCACCGCCAGCCCGCACACGCTGCCGCCGATGATCCACGCCGTGTTGTCCACCTCTGCGAACACGCGAGGTTTCCGATCAATTCAATTGAAAATGTGTAAAACGTATAATTAAATAGAATCAGTAGTGTAGGCGCGGGCGAGAGCCTCCCGAGCGACTGCGCGTTATCTGTCGCCGATAGATACCGGCCCTATCGCCGTAATCAGTGATTGCTTCGTCGTCTCTGTGATTAGGTAAATACACTTTGCGATTGAACGCGATGAAGGTTAAATTAGTTATGTACCGATTACTCTTTTGCTGTCAACCAATACTTTATTTCAAGAGTTGAGTTGAGTCATGGAGCCCATGTCCCGGTGTGCTCGGAGCGACTCACCCGTGGCCACGGCGACGTAGGCGGTGTCGGCGAACTTGTCGGGCGCGGTGAAGGCGCGCAGCTTCAAGAAGTATCGCGTGCCTGCCTTCAGCGGACCGTTGCAGTAGGCCCGGCCCCCTCCCTCGCACCGCTCCGAGCCCAGCGTGAACTCCTCCACCGGCGACGACAGGAACGGGTAGTAGGGCTCCGTCACCTGGTAGGGCGGCCACACCGGCAGCGCGTGCACGTCGCGCCAGGACGGCAGCCGCGCCGGCGTCTCCGAGCGGTTCTCCTGCGCCAGCACCAGCGTGTACGCGGTCACGTTGCCGTTGACTGCCGAGAAGTAGTCAGAGCGGAACCGCACCACGACCGTCGTGGTGGTCGCGCGCACGGCGGCCGGCGCCACGTCCGGCGGCGGGGCGGGCGGCGCGCCGATGGCCATGTGCTGCGTCCAGTGCGCGGCCGCCCCCGGGCCGGCGCCCGTCTCCCCGTGCAGACTCAGTTCGTACGTGACCCCGGGCGACAAGCCCTCCACCGTGACGCGCGTGGCCTCCGCCGCCAGCTCCAGCGAGCGCGTGAGCTCGGGGCGGCCGTGCGGGGCGTACGTGAGCACGTAGCGGCGCAGCAGTCCGTGGGCCTGCGCCGCCGACAGCCGCCACGCCATGGTGAGGGAGCTGGGCCGCGCGTCGGCCGGCCGGAAGTCGGCGGGCGCGGCGGGCACGTCCTCGGCGGTGCGGACGGCCACGCTGCGCTCCGGAGACACCATGCGCAGGCCGCCGCCGTCCCCGGACCGCACCCTGACGGTGAAATCGTACGACGTGTACGGCTCCAAGTCGGTCGCGTTGATGGACAGCCGGTCGGTGACCAGGGTGCGGACTTGTTCGTCGGCGAAATACTGGAGCTCGAAGTCAGTGTGGTCGCCCCCGGGCCGCTCCCAGGTCAGCGTCACGAACCGCGCACCCACGCGCGTCGTGTTGAGCGCGCGCACGGGCCGCGGGTCTGTGGACAAGGGGGCGCGTTAGTCGGTGCGGGGCGGGGCGTGGCGGGGCGTGGCGGGGCGCGGCGGGCGCTCGATACGTACGCAGCCTGGTCTGGCGCTGCACGGGGTGCGAGGTCACGTTGGCGCTGAGCGTCCACATGGTGACGTCATAGAGGCGGCCGGGCACGAGGCCGGGCCAGTGCACGCGGCGCGGCGCGGGGGGCGCGGGCTGCGCGGGCAGGGCGGCGTCGCGCGGCGGCTCGTCGGCGGCGCCCTCCAGCAGGAAGCGGTACTGGTCGAAGCGCGTGGCGGAGCTCGGCGTCGGCGTGAACAGAACCTGCCGCGAGGCGCGTCTCACTTTACAAGCCATGTTCAATGTAACCATTAAGTTTTAACTACGAACAGTTTACTTTTGATTGAGCTGCTCGGGAGAGTGCTGTTGAATTCTGGGCTAAATGATATCAACACAAAATATTATAAAAAAGATGTAGATTCTCTTGGTTGACTTCGAAATGTTTTATTATTTTCTTGTCTAGAATGATGAATGGTGAGCGAACTGTTACCATAACTTTTCTGTGATCTTTCAAAGGTCACGGCGGCGGGTGCGTAGGAGACTATGGACCTCTGTGACCCGCTGCATGAGCACGGGCGGTTGTAGCTCAGGGTGGCAGACACGGGAGGCATTGATGATTCGATTCGACGACATGAATATGTGCGTGTGTCCACGTGAGACACTAATATAACAGGTTGGGAAAAATGTCTTTTCGCATTATAGTATGTATAAACTTGTAATAAAATCTCTTTTGCTATACCATTTGTATCTGGCTGGTTTTGGTATCATTAAAAGTTTAAATTTTAAACAAGATAATTCCAAATTTAAATATAGGTAAATGTGTGATTTTTATTTATATTTCATACTTTCAAGATGAGTGAATATAATAAAGAAATTCGATACATTTTAAAAAAAATCTACAAAAAAGGTAAAAATGCAACGCAAATGCTGCGAAAGAAATTTGCGATGTTTATGGCCCACAAGTCTGTGTGCAGTCTGTGAGAGGAGCACAAATTTGGTTTAAGCGTTTTCAATCCGGATATTTTGATGTCAAGGTGCACGTCGCTCTGGTCGCCCTGGAAAAAGTGGAGCAAGATCGGCATATCAGTAGTTACGACGTAGCTGAAGAACTGGGAATTCACCAAAAAACAGTTTTGGCGCATTTGAAAAAAACTGGGTACAAAAAAACTCGATATTTGGGTACCTCACGAGCTCACTGAAAGAAACTAATGAACCGTGTACTCATTTGTGATTATTTATTACGACTTAATGAAACCGAACCATTTTTGAAGAAACTAATAACTGGTGATGAAAAGTGGATCACGTACGACAAGAACGTGCGAAAAAGGTCGTGGTCAAAGGCCGGTCAGGCTTCACGGACTGTGGCGTAGCCCGGGTTAACTCGCAACAAGGTGATGCTGGATGTGTGGTGGGATTGGAAGGGCATTATTCATTATGAGCTGTTACCTCCAGGCAGGACCATCGATTCTGAACTCTACTGCGAACAACTGATGAGATTAAAGCAAGAAGTTGAGAGAAAGCGGCTGGAAATAATCAACAGAAGGGGTGTGGTTTTTCATGTCATGATAACGCTGGACCTCACACATCTTTAGCCACGCAGCAAAAATTGAGAGTGCTTGGCTGGGAGGTGTTAACGCATCTGCCGTATAATCCTGACCTTGCACCTTCAGATTTGCACCTGTTTCGGTCTCTTCAGAATTTCTTAGGCAGTGTCAGGTTAACATCACGAGAGGACTGCCAAAACCAATTGTCGCGGTATTTTGATTAGAAGCGCCAAAATTTCTATAGCAATGGGATCATGTCCCTCCCTACCTACAAGATTAAAAAATGTTGTGAATTTTCTTTAAAAAGGCGAAGAAACTTTTTCCGCAATCTTATATACACATGCATGTATCAGTAGAGACCTCCCGGGGGAGAAGTCGGGAGCGGCCAATTATTTATTGAAAATGTGAACAATAAACAGAAGAGGAACGTAACAGAAAAGAGTGAAGTGTTGGGGAGAGTACTCACGATGATGCCGGGCGGCGCCTCCTCGTCGTCGCTGGGCTCGTTCACGATGGTCATCTCGGACAGGATGAGCGGACCTGCGGGGCGCGAGCTTCCACTTACATTTGCATAATAACGGAGCTTTTTATTTATTTATTTATTTATTTTTAACAAGTGAAAATAAGAAATTTTTAGCTGTTGAGTTGCTGCTAAAGTAAATAAAATTTTGCTGCATTGTTTTATTTCCGGACATTACAAATATCGGTATTCAAGGTAATTACGTGTTCGCGTGTGTATGGTGAGCAGGTCGCTGGTGAGGTTGTAGGAGTGCGCGGCCAGGGTCAGCGTGTAGCCCACGCCCGGCGCCAGCCCCGCCAGCAGCGCCGGCGGCGCCGTGAGGTTGCGGGCTCGCTCGCCGCCCGCCGCGCCCCGCGCAGAGTCCTCGTCGGTGCCCTCCAGCCCGGCCAGCTCGGCGTGGTCCGTGGGCCACCAGCGCACCTCGTACCGGTCGACGCGTCCGGAGCCGTTCAGCCATTCGAGCGTGACGTTGCGGGTGCCCACCAGCTGCGCCACCTCGGACACCGGGTTGGGACCTGCAAAGCTCCGTGGCGTCAGGGTCTGGTCGCACCGCACACCGGCGGGGCGGCGGGGGGGCGCACTCACGGATGGTGTGCTCGGCGTACAGCGGCTGCCCGCTCTCCACCACCTCGCCGCCGTCGCCGGGCTCGCTGACCGTGTCCAGCTGGATGACGTAGCGCTCCCCGTGCGTCATGTTGGTGATCTGCGTGAACAGGTGAGGTCAGGCCGGGTCGCGCGGCTCGCGGCGGGGCGGGGCGGGGGGCGGGGAGGGGGCGGGGCTCACCTCGGCGGAGGCGGCGTCGGGCGGCAGCAGGTCCAGCTCGGTGAAGCGCGCGGCGGACAGCGTGCGGTAGCGCAGCGCGTAGTGGCCCAGCACGCTGCGGGCGGGCGGCGGGCCGCGCCACTGCACCAGCGCGCTGTTGGAGGAGGCGCGCTCCACCCACAGGCGGGTGGCAGCCAGCGGCCGCACGGGCTTGAGCATGCGGTGCGCCTCGCTCGGCAGGTCGTGGCTCATGGCGGCGAGCTCGATCTCGTACACGGCGCCCGGGAACAGGTCGGCCAGCAGCGCGCTGGTGTCCTCGGTCCGCAGCTGGCGCCACTCGGCCGGCGGCCCGGGCTCCGGCACGCGCGCCCGGTAGCGCAGCACGTAGCGCGTCTGGCGCGAGTTGACGTCGGAGCGCCAGTGCAGGCGCAGGGCGGCGGCGGCGGCCTCCACGCGCACCACCACGGGGGCCAGCGGCCGCGTGGCGCCCCAGCCCCAGGTCTCGTTGGACTCCACGGCGCGGGACAGCGCGCGCACGGACACGGTGTAGTTGCGGCCGGGCAGCAGCGCGTCCAGCGTCACGTTGGTGTCGGTGGTGGTCAGCGTGTTGCTGTCGTCGCGCGAGGGGCCCGCCTCGTGGTAGGAGACCTGCGGGCGAGGCGCGGCTGTACTCGAGCTCAAGTCTCACATTTATTTAATGAGTTCATGCGGCAAGGTCGAGTGTTCCGTTCCGCGCGTGCTCCAACACAGCCGCAGCTCGTCGACCGAGTGAGACTTAGATCAGTTTTATGCATCACACGTTTTCACGCACATTTTGTTTTGTAAAAACAAAGAAAACTGGGTATTTATTGTTTTTGATAAGCAATGACTTATTTTTCGGTGATTGAAAATTAAAATTGATTAATTACTAAAAATGGACAGTGAATATTTTAAAAATATTGAATTATTATATGTATTGAAGCTGGTCGATATAGAGCAGAGAGCGCGCACCTTGTACTCGTCCTGCGCGCTGCCGTCGGCGGGCTGCCACGCCACGCCCAGCCCGCCCTCCGCCGAGCTCACCAGCAGGCGCCGCACCGGCAGCGGCTCTGTCGTATGGACTTATGTTTATTTTCTATACTTTCTTATCTCATGCACTGCAACCTCATTACGAACTATAATAAAGGCGTACATTACAATTAGAATTACTTTTGAAACGTGAAACGGGTTGAAAATAAACCTAATATCTGAAATTCCAATCACTAGCGCACGCGGCGTGCTCGTCCGGAGCCGGATGCGCAGCCGTCACGAACAAACAAAAATCGTTATTTAAAGTCGTCGATAGCGATGCACCGGTGTTCGAATCCCGCAGGCGGGTACCAATTTTTCTAATGAAATGCGTACTTAACAAATGTTCACGTTTGATTTCCACGGTGAAGGAATAACATCGGGTAATAAAAATCAAATCCGCAAATTATAATTTGCGTAATTACTGGTGGTAAGACGTCTTGTGAGTCCGCACAGGTAGGTACCACCACCCTGCCTATTTCTGCCGTGAAGCAATATGCGTTTCGGTTTGAAGGGTGGGGCAGTTGTTGTACTGTAAAATATCTCAAGGTAGCTGGCGGCAATTACGTTGTAGACGTTTATGGGCTCCGGCAACCACTTAACACCAGACGGACCGTGAGCTCGTCCAAACATCTAACTAATAAACGAAAAGGCATAAACTAAGAGAACTAGAACGGATTGTGTGAGTAAACAAAGAATACAGACTGAGCGTGAGGTCGAGGGCGGCGGGCCAGGAGGTCACCTTCCCGGCCATGGTCTTGACGGTGAGCGAGTAGTGCGCGCCCGGGTCCAGCCGCCTGAACCAGCAGGACGGCTCCTCGTCGCGGCCCAGCAGCAGCGGGCTCAGCCGGCGGGCCGCCCCGCCCCCGGACACCGACACCTGGTACTTCTCGAACTCGCTCTCCTCCAGGGGCGGCAACCACGTGACGCGGAAGGCAGTCTCGCGCAGGTCGTCGGGCGGCGCGGTCACGTTGCGCGGCCGCAGCGGCACGGTGCGGTACTTGGCGGTGGTGGGCGCCGAGATCTCGGGCTCGGAGACGGTCTGCACCGAGATGTTGTAGGCCCGCCCGGGCACCAGACCTTTGAAGGCGGCCTGGGCGGGGCCGGGCGGCTCGCCCTCCTTCTCCACGTATAGCACCGAGTCGCGAGCATCGGGCGGCTCGATCGACACCTGTCCGCCGCACAGTGGCGACGCTAAATATTACTGCCAGTTCTTTACACGATAACCATATCTTTAATTAATTAATTCACCTTGTAGTGCGTGTAGGCGCCGGGCGGGTAGGGCGGCTGCCACAGCACCAGCAGCGTGGTCTCGTTGCGGAACCACACGATGAACTTGCCGGGCGTGTTAGGCTCTGTGGACACGCGCACGGTACACTCGTACCTTCACCACTGTCTCTGCTGATAGCTTATTCAATTTCATAACACTACTAAAAATAAAAGTGCGAGCGTGCTTCAAGCTTTTACGACAGTGAACGAGCTGACCGGCGCGATGACCGGGCCTGCGCGATTTGTACAGCGACTGGGCTACTCTCGACTACGTTGTAACAGAAATGGGCAGGTGTTACATGAGCCTCAATGGTTTTGTGAAAAAAATAGATTTAATAGCGCAACTCAATATTATCGGCAATAGCAAGAAAGTAAACGAAGCTATTACTTTAAAAACTAATCAGCGAACAGCGAACATGCACATGAAACAAGAGATAACTATACTTCATTAAGAACGCATATTTCGGTGCGATTTCATCACACTTTAGTTCCATAGATGGATTTATTTTACAAATACTAGGCATGCAATCTTTTAACTCGCAGGATACTGATAAACAATGAACGATCTTTATATATTTCTTGCTTCACCAAAGATTGGCGGGAGGACAGTCTTAAAAGGCGACATAAATTAAATGCGACGTAAATTTATTTTTTGTTAAAGGGCGCTTTTTCAACTTAATCAGAGGATACTCTATTGGTAGCACACACTTGAATTTACATGTAGGTGTAGGTAGTACTGAGTATTAACAGATAGAACAGACTTATGTATATTTAAAGCAACGATGAAAAGACGAAGCTGTGAAATATTGCCCCTCACAGGAAACTGAGTATAAAGTGTTTCATTATATTTGTATTCCTAATTTGAAACACGTTAAGCCGCGGATCATCTCTATCACCGTCGAGATGAGTCGTTGCGACCTTAACATTTACACGGCGACCTTACGGATGTGTTATCGATTTGGCGACTGATATTTCTGTACAAATATTCGTTCTCAGAAATATGTTTTGAGCGCTCATGTGTACAAAGAGTCCTCTGACTTACTTATCACCATTACTGATGTACCTACAAAAGCAGCAAGTTATCGAATCCCAGTTACCACCGGAGCGCTGCGGCTCACCTGAGACAAGAGATAGAAAGCCCCTCTGTGTTGTTGTAGCCATAGGGTACCCCGCTGATGCATAGGCCCCACAGATATGGTCTCCCTCCACGTCAAAGCGGCAGTCCTCATCTCGCTCTGAACGGTGCGTCGTCAAGTGTGTACAGGACGATCGGGTCATCTCCTACCACGCGGTCGCCACTCAAACGCGATCGATGCTGCGTTGACTCTGCCGGCCGTAGAGTATGTCCTATCCAACGCCATTTAGTGGACAATGTCTTGCGCGATGGGGGCTTGGCCACATTTAGTCCAGAGATCTTTATTGAGGTAGTGTCTGGCCAGAATATGCGGAGTATCGACCTCAAGCACTGTAGTTGGTTCGTGAACGTCTTGATCACCCTCCAGGTTTCACATACAAACAAGAGAACACTTTTAACAATGGAGTAAAACAGGGTCAGCTTGATCCGACGTGTCAGGGCACTTGACTCTCAGACTCGTTTCAACTGCGCGAACGCACCCTTGGCTTTCCTGATTCGTACCTCTACATCCTCGTCCGAACCACCCTCATTGGATATGGAACTCCACAGATACGCGAATCTTTGTACTGACTCTAACGCACAGTATGGAGCTTTAGAGGAGTAGTCTTTTTTGTTGATACGCAAGCCTCTTTCCTCCACAGGGATAGCTGTTTGCTCAAGTTTTGTTTGCATCCGGTCCAAAGTCGGCGTCACCAAGACCATGTCGCATAGTCAATTGCGTATTGCTATTCTTAACCATTCGTGAGCACAAAATGTTAGCATAATTTATTTTCTAATTCTCTGGTTTCATAGACTCAATAACAAAAACAAAAAAAATCTGAATTTAGTGTAATAATTATTTAATTTATTTTGTGTGTGAAAAATTCTGACACGGCAATAACAAGCCCTTATTTTGTTTCAGTATTGAATGTACCAACCGTATCCTTAACCTTATAGTGAGCAAACTCAGTGCAAATCATTTTCAACTAGACATTCCCACACTAAGACGAGCTTAGCGTGGTAGTGTTGCCCAGTGAATGTGCTCGCGTGTTTAGTTCTGAGCATTAGAAGTGAATACAGACAGCCCCCGCGCAGTTGTTACTATTATTTGCTTTATATTCTCATGTTGCAATCCCAGGTGTGCCATTTCCAAAAAGGCGTCGGTCCCCTAAATCTTGCTTTGTAGTCAAACCGCAGTATGGCTCCATGCATGGGCTGACCGGCAGTTAGCGTGGGCAATGAGTAGTCCAGCGCTGGTGTGAAGTAGATACAGCGGAGCCAGCATCGCACACGCCTCATCGTTTACATGCAATACCTTTCAGTTGTGTAGTCAATAGTTTAAAGATACGAGAACACACCAAGCTCTCGGGGACCTAGCTAGTGTTAATGTAGCAGTGATGACGTGCGTCTGTTGACTTGCCAAATGAGTAGGATTTTTTGATTTCTTCGAACTTTTCCTCATTCATTGACCTTTAACAAACTTATAACACAAATCTATACTTAGATTGTATATGTGTACACCTTGTGTTTATCCATCGATTTCGTTTTTTCTGTAGTAGCTTTAGTGTATCAATTATATTTTGAAATGTTAATATATAAAGGTATACTTGTTAATAAAATGAACCCGGACCTTGGGAGCCAGCCATTATGGTCGAATAGTAAACAATAGGCAGGCACTAGTTATTGTAAAACTATAACCTATATATAAACCTTTTATGGTTTTACATTAAGGGAACTGCCAAAAACTATCCCGAGTAAGCACTAATGTATCCAGTCGGTGCCTCTAGTGGTACACACACAGACACGCCTAGTGTTGCGAGGCTACGGGGGCACATAGACAGCTCAAAGTGAACGTCACCGTCCACCTCGAGACAGAAGGCCGAAGCTCCACTTACATTCTGTGAGGGTTATTCCAGCCTTCAGATTGACTGTATGACTGTGTGACCCTTACCCGTTCGGGCCTACAATATTAACACCAGTAAGTTTATCTTATTTAGATATATTTAAATAAAAATAGATGTCTGTATGTGTTCTTAAACCACTGATTCCACTGAGGTGAGAGTTATGCAATTGTTCTCAGCACTCCAGGGAAGGTTTCCGTCGTAGAACTATCACCGCATCATAATTGAAGATCCTGTGTTTTTCATTCAATTAGCGGTAGTTAGCGCGGAGCTCCGTACTCTAACAGTCTACAGACAGCTACGAAACGGAAAGTATCTATAAGGGAATTACAGGGAAAATAGAAAAACGAATGGTGGCACACACGTGTAGAGCATATGTAGCTGAAGGATGAGACCGCACAAGCGCGTGGAGTAATGTTTTTAAGTTATTTCAAAGTTAACGCAGAACCACGGAGCGCACCTAGTAGTGTATTTGTATTAGTTCGTTTCCGCGTGACCGCAACGCGTTTCGCAAACCAGTCCCGAGAGGGGCGCCGCGCCGCCGCTCGGTCAGCCTCCGCACGGAATTACAATTTTAAGAAATATGGCCCCCAAACCTTTCAATACGACTTATTGTTTAGAAGCATATTTTACCTTAAGCGTGGCAGCATTGGATTTTGAATATGTCTGCGGCCGCTTTTCGCACCACATTATGACTTTGCTTAGTGTATATATATGGCATCATAATGAGAAATCATTACGATGCCATACTGAGCCATGCTGAACATCAGAAGAAGTCTGACACGCCATCAATGCAAACGTTTATTGTTTGGCCACAATTGTCGAGCTCCGACGACGCTGATCTGCGATCCGATCGTTATATTGGTTTACAACTTGAGGCGGCGTACACTATGCACAATGACAAGTTTGAAGATGAATGTGTTTGTGTTGTGACGTCACGGCGGAGCAGGACGTGTCCCGGTCGCAGCTCGCGGCGCTTTCTACGCTGCTCATGATTCATGAATTTACTTAAGACTACTTCGAGAGCGGACGTAGCTTAATTGTATTGTTGTGAAGTAGGTACCTAGGTAGACATGGCCTTCCGTTGCCGCACCATACCGAGGTGGAGGTAACTTGTGTCGTTTTTTGATTCAAAAATGAATTCGAAAGTGCTTTAATAGTAATTACGCAACGAATGCTTTATAGTTAATGTAACTGATAATTTGTGTCCGCACCCAGCATCCGCTCATATATACCTACTTGTATATGTATATGTGTGACATCTTGTATCGCGCTGAATTCTGCCGTACTGATCGAACACACAATTGAAATCATTATTTCGAATCAGTCCTAGGGCTGGGTAATTGTGTTATTTATAGTAAGTACACCTCCTCTTTCATGATGTGTATTTTTCATAATTAGTTGTCCGTAGTAGAAACGGTTATGTTATATTGACTATTGATTCCCGCGGATGACGAAGAAGCTGAAGGCGTACCTAGTGTTCTTATATCTCTTATTATATTGACTCTCTCAGACATAACCCACTAAATTTCTCGCCAGATCTTCTGAGTGGGTTGCGATTCCGATCCGGTGGTAGATTCTACGAGGCACTGCTCTTGTTACGGCCAGTGTTTGCAATTTATTTGAGGTCGAGTCCGTGAGCTCACCTCCCGTCCGCGCGTAGCTGAAATAACCCTTTAAGCCACCAGCGAATAGGTAGGAAAAAATATATACATACAGTCGTGGTCAACTAATTAGGGACATTCAAGATAGTGAAGGGCTATAACCGGTTATGTACATTTAAATATAAAACCCTATTGATTTCTCAGCACCTATTATATGCATAATGTGGTCCGATTATTTTGCTATAAATGGCTGTAAATAAAAGATTTAATAAATAGAAAAAGTATTTAATATCAAAGATTAAACATGTATTAAATATTAAGGTACAATTCTGTAGTGGACATTTAATTAAGGACAGTAAAGTATAATTAAAAATACAGTTACACAAAACTTATAATCTTCAGTGTTATAATATCTTTAACAGCTCCATTTTATTACGTGTAAAATCAGTACCCAGTAGCAAAACCTTTGTTAGTAATTACCGCTTGACACCGATGTGGCGTAGACATTATCAGTTTCTGACATGTTTCGACAGGAATGTTTGCCCATGCCTCACAAAAAGCTTCATGAAGTTCATCCAAATTTGTATTACGATAAGTGGCAACTTTTTCTTGATTTCGTGCCAAAGGTGTTCAATTGGGTTGAGGTCCGGGCTATTTGCTGGCCAATCTGGCACCGATACAAACTGACTGGTAAGAAACGACTTGACTGAATGGGCGGTATGTTTCGGGTCGTTATCCTGCTGAAACGTCCATATAATAGGGAGATGCTCCTCAGCAGGTCCAATGTCCATATTTACGTGCAAATGCCAAACGAGCATTTCTATGTTCTTTCTTCAACAACGGTACTTTGCGAGCCACTCTTCCGAGCAACCCTGCTTCTACCAAACGTTGTCGAACGGTCCTCGCAGATACACCGGCTCTTTCGTTTACCCCAAACACTTCGTGTTTAATTAAAATAGAGCCTAGAAACGGATATTTCTTAGCTAACCTGGTTATCATTCTATCTTCTTGCGGAGTCGTTTTTCTCGATCTTTTTGTTCTGGACACATTTTAAGCTGTGTTATAGCGCTTGAAATGTTGCACTGCATTGCATACCATAGTTTTTGAACAATTTGAATGTCGGCTATCCTTCGGTATGACCAACCACGCTCGACAAACTTCATGATAATTTTTCGTAGTGTTGGATCGCAACTTTTATTTTTGCCCATTTTTCCTCAAAATAATTCTCAAAACTTAAAATAAAAAATCTGGATTGCCGCCAAAACGACCACTTAACAATAAGAAAAGAAACAAAAAAGTATTAAAATTCCAATTTTGAAATTAGAACGCAATACCTCAGTGTCCCTAATTAAATGTAATGTAATGTAATTTAATCCTAATGTAATGCATGCTGTGATTGCCTATAATTAGAGTTGCAGTTATCAATTGCTCTATACATGTCAATGTTATTTTATGTCTTACTGTAAACCCTGTCGGTAATCCTTAAATAAATAAATAAATGGCCAGCCAGCATTCTTTGAACCAATAGCACTATGATATTGTATCAGCTATACTGTAAAGAGGTTTAATGTTTAAGAAGTTGTTATTGTTTGTATAATCGCGCACATAAATGACTAATTACACTTACATGTAAAAAATATGGAATATAGCTAAGACTCGTTGGAAAATAAAAAAAATATTCAGAATTTGGCTTAACTAGAGATTGTCCCTAATTAGTTGACCACGACTGTATATATTGACTTTCATTTACAATTTCAATAATTAGCATCGTACTAATAGTTTCAAGCCATTTAGTTGTTTTATACAAACATTTTTTGTTATTGAATAGTACGGCAATGTGTATTTTTAGTCATAATAGCGTTAGTTGGTCGCCAGACAGATTCAAGGTTGAACACACGAGCGAAGGCATTATATTTTAATGAATATTTTAAAGTCTGAAAAACTCATATAACTTGCTATTTCACTTGAATTTTCGGAAAAATATGAAATTGAGGCGTTCATGCGTACATAATAAATACCATACATTCAATAAAATTAGGTTAGGCAAAATAAAGAAGTAGGCAGATGTGAAGACAAGCAAACAAAACTAGTAGTTGCACACAACATGCATGCGTGGAGCAGGCGGCACATGCAGCGGTGACGCACGACGCGTGGGAGCTTACCCTGCGCTCCCGGCTCCTGTGCGCGGCAGCCGCAGCCGTAACATACAAAATACACATCAGACTCAACAATAATGACGATCCACGGTACCACGACGCGGCGCCGTTAACTGACAGTTAGTGCCGGACGCATACTGTCCGTGGGCCCGTACCCTTTGTATCGGCGCGTGCGTAGAATGCGCAGCCAGGCTTGGGCACTCACAGCTGAGAAAACGTCAGTTTGCGGTTTCATTGCGCTTACACAACACCCGTTACGCAACTACACTTTTACAACGATCTAGTCGAATTGCCGAATTATAGACGGTCTTGAGTAAGAGAACCTACATTCGACATGTCAGCGTCAACTGGTCACGAGTTTAAACGTCGACAGTCTATCGAAGAGCGCGGACGACAGAAGCCTCGATAAGCGCACAATAGTGTCACATCACGTACCAGACGTGACGGAGCTATTGTTCTGATGTTTCCTGAGTCTATTCAAGGACACTCATTGTTGTGTTGAAATATTTAATGATAGTGTATCAATGTCCTGTGTCATATCTCTTACTGCTTAGAGCAAAGTGCTGCGGCTCCGGGCGAGGCGTCGTAGCCTGCCCGTTCGATTCTATCAGTTATCAACAAATTTTTATTCAAACCGATTCTAAAATATATCATAAATACATCAATGAGATCATCGTGGAGTGTACTAACAAACTGGTTTTGTTTAGAAGCTTTTTGCGAATTAATATGATGGAATATAGTACTGAAGGTAGTCGTCGTAGTAACTAGGACGCCCCCACCCTCCTGCTTCCTGCCGTATCCCACACAGGCTCGACAACTCGAGGCGACGTCACCGCACATATCATGACGTGCCATTAACCAGGCGTAGATCTACCGACTTCAATCACAATGATGCGTAGTTATAAACAATTTCAAGATCTATAAAATCCAATATGAAGGTGAGGGTCGAGTCGATCTGACAATGTCGCGCGATCCGCACCCAGACGGACAGCCTCGTGTGACGTGTACATAGCACATATATCGTCGACTCTGTACTATATCTATCTCTCTATCTACTCGTATCTATCGTGAATACAATGATGTTTCGTTCGCTATATTTTACAACTTTTTGCGCATTTTGCGGATATATTTGCAGCAAGGCGATACGGGACGAACCCTCCGCGGTGGCCGGCTATAATAATAATTAATAATAAACAGTTAATAAATAGGGGTGACATTTTTTTGCATCCAAATTTGGTATTGCGTGTCCGTTGCACTGCTATAACCGGAAGGGTTGCCGAGATGAGATGTCGGACAATGCGCGACGGTAAGGCTAGTCGGTCGGTTACTGACTTGTGGTGAAGTTGCGCGAGGCGTAGGCGGCGCTCTCCTTGTCGTGCAGCAGCGTGAAGGCGTGCAGCTGGTAGGTGGCGCCGGGGAACAGGTCGCGCAGCACGTGCGTGTCGTTGCCGCGCTCCACCGTGATGTTGCGCTGGCCGCCCTCCGCGCGCTCCGTCAGCGGGATCACCTGCGCCGCCACGCGCCCACTACAGTCCCGCCCTCACCCACACACGCGACGACCTCACGTCTACTTGACACGAGCCGGTTACTACTTTTACAGTAAAACGTCATTCAAATTATGAAACTTTATCTAAAATTTAATTGGAAGACTGAGATCGACGTCAAATGCCGGCGGATCAATGTGGAAACAATTCAATAAAATTACCTTAAAACGAAAGCCCGTATAGTTACCCTGGGTGGGTGGCGACCAGGATATGGTGGCTTGCTTGTTGCGGCCCAAGGTCACCGTCAAGTTCGTTGGCGGCTCCGGCGCTGCGAGCGTTCACGTCATAACTTCATTCTCCGTAAAAGGTTTATTTATATAAACATACGATCTGATTAAATAAATATAGCAATACCCGTAATTATCGTTTGGTTCCAGGTGAGCAAATCAGGGAAGGTAGAGTTGGAGTAGTAGAGCATGAAATGATACTTGGTGCCGGGCAGGCCTTGAAAGTTAATGGTAGAGGCGCGCGCGGGGACGGTGTGGTTCGGGGCGGGCGTGCCCTCGGGCGGCCGGTAGTCTAGCCGGTACAAGCCGCTCACGCTGTCTCCATCCTCGCCCGCGCCGGAGCCCGGGATCTCGATCACCAGGTCGGCACACGAGCCGCACCTCGTCATGCACTACAATACACAATATATTCGTGGCATTTATGACTTTTTTAATTAACCATATCTACCGAACAGTGCCCGCGGTGCACCCTACATTTATTTGAAGATACCAAACATACTTATGTAAGTATATATTCTATACCTTTGTACTACTAACTACCTACCTCTACTACTACCGTCCATAAGTTTGAAAACACATAATATGTTTTTGTACAAAAAGAACAGCGGGACTGTATGCAGTAAAAAATTGTATCATCACTACATAAATAGTATAAAACAAAGTCGCTTTCTCTGTCCCTATATCCCTATGTATGCTTAAATCTTTAAAACTACGCTAGGGATTTTGATGCGGTTTTTGTTTTAATAGATAATTGAAGAGGAAGGTTTATATGTATAATAACATCCATTGAATAGCGGAGAAATCAATAATAAATTACAGTTTCCGAAGCGAAGCGAGGGCGGGTCGCTACTTAATTTATATTTTACTAGCGACCCGCCCTCGCTTCGCTTCGCATTTTCGCATTTTTGCTAGTTTAAATTTTTAGGACCGTATTTAGTCGCACTTGAGCACGCGAAAGTTGTGATATTAATATTGTCTGTATTAGGAAGATTTCCCTTACTGCTTTGCTCGTACCTATCCTTCTGAAAATGGCAAAACGCAAGCAAATCACACTAGAACAACGAAGCGCTATTTGTACACTACGCGAGGAGGATACAGTCAACGTCAAATCGGCAAAAAAAAATTTGATTAGAATGAGGCGCATAAAAACTGGACCATAGTTCAATGGGAAATCACTTATAATTTTCGGGTCCAATAGACGCGTATTTATCCACCGGTCACAAGAAGAGAGGGAAGCACGTACAGTGTCTGCCATCAAACACGGTGGTGGTCATGTCAGGGTTTGGACAAGTTTCGGCAACAATAAGCCCGGTAGTCTTGTGAAGATAACCAAAAAACTCATTGAAGCTATAATAGCTAATAAGGCTCTTCGAATTCTCAAAGATACCGCCATACCCAGTGGACAAATAACATTGGTCCTGAATTCACTTTTTAACAAGACGCTATAATCCTAAGCTGTCGTCGAAACTTTGTCAGAGCTTTTGGAAAAAGAAAAAAAGATTAAAATATTTAAAAAAATTTGCAACGGCCATCTCAATGACCTGACCTTTCTTGAATTGTCCCATTGAACTTTCTTACTTCTGAACTTTACATTGAACTCGACAGAAGGGTAAGAAATGGATCATCAACAAATTCAGAGCATTTGTGTACATTATTGGAGAGAGAGCAGAAAAAATGAAATGGAGAATATTTCAAGAAATTTACTATTGCTTAATTTTTAAGTTAAGATCAAAATAAAACTGACTGACTGCTTCCAAACTTTTGGACGGTAGTGTATATACTATACTACTCACACATATTATTCTGTACATATAGTGTTTTACATATTAATGCACAAATAGTATACACAATATTTATTTATCTAATTATTTATTAATTACATAAAATATTTTCACAATATACCTCGTGTGATCAAGTTCAGTCGTATTTCAAATTACGAAGACTGACCTGAGGGACGAGCACGAATGACTATCGAAAAAGTATTCGTATCGCTATCTAGAAAAAAATGTATAGGATTTAAACAGCGCCCCCTACCGGCCGTAGAAAGAATGAAATTCAGCAGCACGAATGAGTTTACTTACTTTCGTTTCGCAATCGACGCGTCACGTTCTCGAAACTTATACTCTTAATCGAGGGCACGAAAATTGTTTGGACATACGGTAACGTAAATCTCGAAGGCTGGCTATCCAGTACTACCATTTAATCTTATGATCCGTTTTCGTATCGAGGACTCGAGACATTCGCATTACAAATTCGATAGATTTTCGTGCTTGACGTACTGAAATTTTAAAATTGATTTTGAGTCAAGAACTAATAAGTATCCAACTATCGCAACATCTAACACAATGGAGTGAAGGTAAAAGGAAGACAGTAACGGTTGTCGACAGTCGCACACCGAAACTCTTGAGGCTTGTCGCGAGGCGAGTACTGTCTAACGATTCAGTGAAGACGGCAGTCATCGACACAGCGAGGGCGTGAATGTATTGCGTTATAACGTACGCCCGTCAGCAAGTAACAAAAAGACTTTCAATTAGTGTTGAGGAACGTCAGAACTCTGACTGAGTATTTGCTCGCCCACCTGTCCCCTGATGAAACTAGGAAGGCATTTGAGCCACCAGTAATCACGTACAAACATGACATAGCTTATAGCTGTGTATACAATGTTTGATTACAAAATATGGTAATATGCTGGGAACGCGACATTGTTTATAGGTTTTATTTTGTTAACTTACTGTACCTTCAGGTTTAAATCTATACATATAAATAAAATTGGAGTGTCTGTTTGTAATATTGAAATAATCGCTTTTTACTACATGCATATTATGAATATATATACGGTACATACACCAAAATAACATTTTTTACAATTTTTGTCTGTCTGTCTGTCTGTTTGTTCTGGCAAATCTNCGACATTGTTTATAGGTTTTATTTTGTTAACTTACTGTACCTTCAGGTTTAAATCTATACATATAAATAAAATTGGAGTGTCTGTTTGTAATATTGAAATAATCGCTTTTTACTACATGCATATTATGAATATATATACGGTACATACACCAAAATAACATTTTTTACAATTTTTGTCTGTCTGTCTGTCTGTTTGTTCTGGCAAATCTCTGAAACGGCTGTACCGATTTTGACGAAACTTTCACTGATAGGTAGCTGATGATATAAGGAGTAACTGAGGAGATTAGCCTCGCCCCGCGGCTTCAATAATACATTGGAAGAAAAATGGCTCACTGGACTAAAACTCAGGCCATTAAATAAATTAAAAAATTTATAGTTCAGATCCGAGCCCAGCCAGGTGCTGAATAATGCAGGTAACTATTAATAATAATAATAATAATAACTGAGAACAAATCACGCACGATCTTCCGGCCCCAATCCTAACTCAAACAAAGAGCAGACAGAACAGACCTCTACTACGATCCTCTCCTAGCATCTGCGTACTCTCCGGTCCCACATAGCGCGCGCGCGCCCTAGGTGCGGGGACCTCGTAAAGGATCGGCTACCAGCCCAGAAAAAAAATATTAAATGGGAGGGACCCTTATGACGATTTGACATGAAAAGCGGGTAGTGGTTTTTTTACGGTCCAAGCATGCTTTAGAGGCTCAGTGAATTCCTTCTGATGTGATCTGTGCAAGCAATCGTTGAGTAACTCGGTGGTGCAGTAGCTATTGGCCCTGACTGTTGCGCCGCGTGTTGTGGGTTCAATTCCAATGTCGGGCAAACATAGTGTGATGAACAGGTTTGTCTTTTTTATATTTATTGCTTTGATGGATGGACGAGCTCACAGCCGACCTGGTGTTAAGTGGTTACTGGAGCCCATAGACATCTACAACGTAAATGCGCCACCCATCTTGAGATATAACTTTTAAAGTCTCAGTATAGTTACAACGGCTGCCCCACCCTTCAAACCGAAACGCATTACATCTTCATGGCGGAAGTAGATAAGGCGGTGGTACCTATCCGTGCGAACTCACAAGAGGTCCTACCACCAGTAATTATGCAAATTATAATTTTGCAGGTTTCATTTTTATTACAAGATGTTATTCCTTCACCGTGGAAGTCAATCGTGAACATTCGTTAAGTACGTAATTTTTCTACTGAAAAATTTGTGCCTGCCTGCAGGATTTGAACACTGTTGCATCGCTAGATATGAATGCACTGGACATCTTATCCTTTAGGCCATGACGACTTCAGTTTTTTCTTTCCAAGTTCTTTTTTCCCCTCCAATGATCCCCATGATTGGTTTGAAGAAACGATAAGGCATTTAAAATATAATGGGAAGCACCTTGGGAAGCAATAAATATATATTATATTTTACTTTAAATACAAAAAATATAATTTAATATATTGCTTGTTCAGGTTCAAAACTAGATATCACCTCACTCCCCACATTTTATAAATTCATAGTGCTGTGGTATCAGGAAAAAAATGAAGTTCATGAAAAAAAAATAACAGTTAAAAAAATTGTTAGTCCCAAAATTTTAATTTACTTCATAAAGAGACAGGATGATGCTGGATGTACCACATGCCCCACTAGCCATGATTGTAGGCACTAAGAATTTAGAAATTCAGAATTATATTGTAAGCACAGATTAAAGAAACGCAGCTTTTAGATCTCCACATTTAGTATTGAAGCACAATTACAAATAATGTTTAAAAACAAAATAAAGAATATTCATTTCAGCTTTACATTGTCATGTAGGCAGATTTTTGTTGGCATTTGATTCTGAATGCCTGCCTTTTGCTTCAGATTATTGGTTTATAATATATGCATTCATTGCTAATTTATTATGAAAAAAAAAACCTTTTTAAAAATGTTTCTTTTTATGTGTAAAAGCAAACTCTTTTAAAAAAATAAGTCTTTATGTAGTTCACAAGCTAATTCCAAACATTTATAATTCCCAAAGCAGCATTATAAACATGGAAAAGTATCTTATTTTTGTTAAGTGCCCCCACTACTAGATTTCAAGATGTTTTAAGCTATCAATTTCTGAACAGATTTACAAATTAATTTATATTAATTTTAGATAACACATATTTATTTTACAAAAGAATTTCTATAATGAAATTAGATTAAGTCAGCTGTCCTATTGGTAATTTAATAGAAATGGGAAACCTGAGCCTTCATCCTTGGCCAGCACTATTGACTTTTGTTTATGGATTTCAGTAGCCACCACCAGGTGGGACGTGAGCTATATAACTATTAACAACCGAAAACTAAGCAAAGATCTTTGGTAAAATGGTATTATAAAGCTTCATTTATAAATAAGTGAAACATGCACACATAATGACACATGAGAAATAATTAGTTAAATGTAAATTTTGTATAATAAATGTGTTGACAAATATGCAATATACTGTTATGAATTTGTTTGTTTAATTCATTTTACTATAATATTAAATTTTCAAAAAGGTCATCCAAAATGCATTTTGGAAAATCAGTAAACCGTACAAAAGGCTCGTACTGACCGCAAGGATAACTAGAAGCAGTGCCAGGGCCGCAGCGCGTGCGCATCCTCCAGTCGCTTGCAAGTTCAACCTTTTCCACGTCATTGAAGACAATTCTTCGTTTTCAGGACACTTTCTCTTCGAAACACTACACTTATTTTGATTCATTATAGCAGGACATGGTTCATTTGTGCCATCACTTCTGATAATAATATAATTGCACTCGTTTGGCTCTGTTGTGGCACACACACAGGTGCACAATACCATTTTAAAACATTACAGCCTGTTTGACTCGTTTCTTCAACTTTTGTGAAGTTCTGTTTTGGTCACAGAGTACCAGTGTGACAAGATTTTATTTGACGAATCTACTGCTTGTGGAGGCTAAAATCTACTAAATTCTACCATAAGAGAACGATAAATACTCAAAATCTATTATACTTTTTTTGCTGTCGTGTTACAATGTAACAGCATGAATCTTCTTGATTAAACAATAAAATAATAAAAAGAAACCACAATTAATTAAAGAGACCAACGTTCTTTTTTTTAAATTAAATACTAAATTTAAAAAAAAATAAAAAAAAAAAATTAATAAAATGAAACTTAAACTTCTTCTCTTTATGTTGGGTAACATCTTCATATAGTTGTTTTGAGTCCATTAACTTGGTAATAGTTCTGTCAGGATCAAATGTGCGATATCATCTGTCGTAGCTCTTCTTTTCCATGCATGATTGCAGCAACATTCTTATTATTAAATCGATTTCGATCTTGATTTTTAATCCTATTAATATCAGAAATTATTCTTTCTATTTTGGCGTTTGACAAAGGTAGTATCGCCATTTGCTTCACAAATTGGGACAAATTGCCATACCTTGGTTTGCTATTCGCACCACAGATTTGGCTGCCTGCACTCCAAAATTTATCCACCATAAATGTTTCAGACGTCGAACTAGAAGTTGACAATAAATTAGACACTGAAACATCTAATTTTGGTTCCCTATATTCTTTGTCAACAATTTGCATGTTTTCTGTTGTAACTACAAGGATATCGTGATGAATAGGACATCGCGATATCCTTGTGTATATTTATGTTTCATTTTAAGCTCGATTATAAAAATTCTCAATGAAGGAATTCCCACTGGTCTATCACACTATGCTCAAAGCACGAATGGTAAAGAAAAGAATGAAAATTAAATAGTTACGTCCATTCGATGAAAGGGGAATATCCCAAATTTGTCCGTTATGCCAAAAAGTACTAGAATAACTGAAAAGCGTGAATTCTACTACAATATACCAAATAATTTTTACATACTAAATTCTGTTGCCAGTACCTCAAAATCTAACAAAAAAGTAGAAATCTACTAATACAACAATCTATCTACATACCATAGACCTATTGAGGTTTCATCACGGTTTCATACTTCAGTGCTACATACCTAGTGGCTGTCAAAATGGGTGTCAAAGTTTTTTTTTTACGTGGAAAGATCAGCATTGACAGCAAGAACCTTGCAGCTTAGGCAACATGGATGACTAGCTGAAGCGTGTACCCAAAATTGTGAGGCTAGAAACATTATTCAAGGCTTTTCTATCTATTTTGAAAACCTTTAATTTTTTTGTGTTGTGTGAATAGTTTTCATCAATTGATATAGCAGATGCTTTCCCAAAAAATAAATAAATATTTTAATGCACACGATTGCAACTGTTTGCAAATGCAATTGTTAAGAGATTTTATCTTTACCATCATAATTGTTAGAAACTATAGTGTTATTAGGCTTAGTATAAGAGTGTTTAACTTATACTTTCAATCCTTTTGGTATCATCGTTTACCGAGCTATTAATGATAGGTACAAAGACCTTTCATGTAGGGTAACTTTAATTAAACATGTTGTAATCCTAAATGTTACAGGAATAAATAGTCACATTTTATAATAAAGGAACTTTACGAAATGGCTATTTATTTTGTAGGATGGAAGGATAACTAGTGGCTCGGGGACCTTTTTGGTTTTACTTGGACAGGTGGGCGAACTTGGGCTCAGCCAGGATGGAATCAGGGTGTTCCTGTAGTGTCACTAGCCCTTGTTGTAGGGTTCTAAAGACGCTGGACATCCTACTCGTACTAAAATCCCGATTAAAGCAATAAAGGAAAGTATTCGAAGAAATCCTATAAGATCTCAAATTATTCAATGTGTTATCCTTGACCATGTCACGTTTTTCAAAAGACTTTGCAACTTAGAGCTTTTTTTTTATTGATTATGTGGGTGGACGAGCTCACGGACCATCTGATGTTAAGCGGTTGCCGAAGCCCTAAACGTCTACAACAATGCCACCACCTACCTTGAGATATGAGTTCTAAGGTCTCAGTTTTTACAGTACAATGGCTGCCCCACCCTTCAAAGCGAAACGCATTAGTGCTTCAGGGTAGAAATAGACAGAGTGGTGGTACCTGCCCATGCGACTCACAAGTAAGTCACTAATACCAATAACTACGCAAATTATAATTTTTGCGGGTTTGATTTTTATTACACGACGTTATTCTCTCATCGTGGAAGTCAATCGTGAACATTTGCTTTATATACCTAGTTCATTAGAAAAATTGGTACTTCCCTGCGTGATTCGAACACGAGTGCATTGAAAAATACAAATGCACCGGACTTCTTATCTAAAGGATAGTACGACGCTGAGGAAGGCCAGGACGACTTTTTCTGCTTATAAGAGATTCACTAGTCATTATTTAAACGATAATTTAAATATAAATAGGCTCTTGAGTTAAAACAAATGCAGCTGCAGGAAAAAATTAGGTTCAAGTGTATTACGATTTAATTTTGGAAATGGCGAGCCTCTTCACAAGACTGTGCTCCATAATCATAAATGTTCCATAGAGAAAGACTCTGCATGATGCCCAACGCACATAACATGGCTAGATAAATAACGAAATATCGAAAAGTCACAAATTAAGAAGCGTGACAGGAATTCGTTTAATAAGAGTATAGATACCTAGTCAGGTCATAAATTATGTCACATGTTTAATGTAAAATAATTGAAACAATTTTATTCATTATGTAACCATTCATATACCAAAATGAACTTAACAAAACATAGATTCTTATGACACTAAAGTTTATTCAAAATGACCTCCGTGATTTTGAATACAGGCCTTCAATCTGCGCGGCCAGTCGTCTATCGCAGCACGAACGAGGTCCATGTCAATATCGGCGGCTGCCTTAATCAAGGATGTCTTGAGTGACTCCAAATTGGGATGAGGCTTTGAGCACGCCTTTTCCTCCAAGTGTTGCCATATCTTGTAATCTAACGGATTCAAATCTGGACTGGAGGAGGGCCAGTCTTCGTGCCGGATGAAGTCGATTTCACGCGCCGCCAGCCAGTCTTGTGTGCTCTTCGCTCTATGAGCTGGCGCCGAATCTTGTTGGAATACCCAGTGCCTGTTATTGAACATGGTATGAGAAACAGGTTCCACAAGGTTCGTCAGGACTGTATTTTGATACACAACTGCATTCGTTTTTACACCTTTCTCACAAAAATGTACCTCTGTTAAGCCCCAATAAGAAACTCCCAACCATACCATGAGCGAGGATGGAAAATGACCTCGTTGGACACGCGGAATACGGTTGCTCGCTTCTTCACTACTGTGTGCGTACACCTTATCATTTTGTTTGTTGTAGCTCTCTTCTACGGTAAAAATTTTTTCATCCGAAAAAAGAATTTCCCGATATTTTTTTCCCGCGTACCGCTTCAACAAAGCACGGCATCTCTTCAGTCTCAGGTCCATTAGACGAGCATTCAAACGATGTCCTGTTTTTCTTCGATATGCCCGAAGCCCTAAGTCTTCATTTAACACCCTTTTCACCGTGGTTCTGCTTAACCCCATCTGAAGGGCCAACAGTTTCTGCTTACGTTTGGGATTTCTTTGAATTCGCGCCTTCACAGCTTTTATCACCGTTGGAGTCCTAACAGACCGAGGGCGACCACTTCTTGACCTGTCATCTACACTAGAGTCTTCATTGTATCGTTTGATGGTACGATAAACGAATCTTTTGGTTATATTCAAATTTTTCAGTATGTTAAAAATTTGAATTGTCGCGTAACCGCAACGATGCAACGCAATAACTGCAACACCGTCTTCTTTAAGCGTCCACTCCATATTTAAAAATGAGTAAAATTCTAAAAGTATACATTTTTATTTTCATGAACAATTCGAAATTCGAATTCAAGAAACTTTTTTGTGGCCAGCATTCTAAAAGAAAAGTTTTTACTGTGTGACAATACTTATGACCTGACTAGTTATATGTGCAACAAAGTATGAGCTTGATTTACAATAGTTAAAACAAACTTACAGGAAGCATTACGGGACACTGTAGTTCTAAAGGCACCTGCAGCACTTAGGCCCCGCTCGTAATATGTAGGCATTAAAATGTAAAGTCAAAAAAAATCTGTGACTCACTCCAACATAAATGTTTGCTCTCACTCTGCGAAACATCGTGCCACATGGCGTCGCATCGCGAGAGCATCGTTATCGCAGGATCCGACTGATGCATGACCACGACCACTCTGTCAAGAGTGTACGAATAGGAAGAAGAAAATGTAAAGAGTGATGTTGTTATCCTTTTCTTATTTTATTAATCGTTGTTATTTGAGGTTTAAGTAAACGTGTAATTGCTGATTATGAATAGTTTCATATTTGACAAAATTCAAAAACATAAGAAAATTGTTAGACATGGCTTCTCAGGTCTTTATTTATATGTATTTGTAAAAAATACGTGTCTTCAGGAAATTTCTTGTGATTTAACTGAGTATTAATTTTGAATTTTGTTAATACCAATGCCAACCTTAAAGATTGAGAAGCCAATGGGAAACAAATGCCAAAAAATAGGAAGGTTTACCTTAAATTACTCCATTCAATTTAAGTCTGGTTTAGATTCTATCCAAAGCTTAGTATCTATGTTTTTATCATAGATTACACATTTAGTATTTACATTTTACACTTAACTTGCAACACTAAAAGTCGGACATGTTGTGTGTGTTAAGCTGTAGTAGCTAGTAAATTGGCGCCAATCGGCATAATTGTATTTAAGTTGTTTGAGATAACATCATAATCGAGTTGTACAAGTAAAATAATGATTGAGAACGACATTTCAGCGTGGTCTCCTGACGATACGCTAAGGATATTAATAGCCTCCGATATTCATCTTGGTTTCATGGAAAATGATCCGGTACGCGGAGAAGATAGCTTTATAGCTTTTGAAGAAGTTTTGTCTCTTGCGGTACAATGTGATGTTGATTTGATACTTTTAGGAGGTGATCTGTTTGATCAAGCTAAACCTTCTGTCAATTGTATGTTTAAATGTACAGAAATAATCCGCAAATATTGTCTTGGGGATAAACCGGTTAGTATAGAGTTGCTGTCTGACCAAATAAAAAATTTTTCAAGAACAGTTAACTATGAGGACCCCAATTTGAATATTTCTTACCCTATTCTCTCAATACACGGCAATCATGATGATCCCGTTGGCCAGGGCAGTGTGAGTTCTCTTGATATTCTCTCAATCACTGGGTTAGTTAATTATTTTGGTAAATGGACCGACTACACGCACGTAAGAATATCACCAGTACTTTTGCAAAAAGGTCTTACGAGGCTCGCCCTCTATGGACTTAGCCATTTAAAAGATCAGAGACTTTCACGTCTTTTTGCTGAAAAAAAAGTGGAAATGGAGAGACCCGATGAAACATTGGACTGGTTCAATTTATTTGTACTACATCAAAATCATGCTGACAGAGGACACAGTAACTATATTCCAGAAGGAGTGCTACCAAACTTTTTAGATCTTGTAGTGTGGGGCCATGAGCATGATAGCCATATTTGTCCAATGAAGGGAAATAAAACAGAGAAAGACAGCTTTTTTGTTGTACAACCAGGTAGTACTGTGGCAACCTCTTTAGCTGCAGGAGAAGCACTTCCTAAGCATTGTGGTTTATTAGAAATACATAAAGGAAATTTCAAGTTAACTCCTCTGCCACTGCAAACAGTAAGGCCTTTTATATTTAAAACCATAGTGCTTTCAGAGGAAAATATAGGCAGTGAGGATGTTAATGAAAATGAAAAGGTTCAAGAGTTTTTAAAAAACAGAGTTAATGAAGCTATTGATGAGGCTTCAAAGCTGAAGACTGCTGATCTGAGGCAGCCTTTACTACCACTCATCAGGTTAAGTATTTTTTATGAGCGAGAAAGTCAGAACTTTAATAGGATACGTTTTGGACAGAATTTTAATGGTTTGGTTGCAAATCCTAATGATCTATTAATAATGAAGAAAGAAAAAAAGATTAGAGAAAAAAGAGAACGTGATCCAGAAGAGGAAGGAGACATGACGGGTGTGGCTGCAGAAGCTGCTGATGTGGAGTCACTTTTACGTGCATATTATGAAGCTCAGCCGAAGGATAAGAGACTTTCTGTACTATCAGTCAGAGTCATAACTGATGCAGTTCGGGATTTTACCCTTAAGCACAATGAAGATGTCTTGCGGCGGGCATTTGATGCTCATAAACGTCGTTGCATTGCTGCACTATTGGAATCTACTGCAGAGACCGAAAAAGAAATTGCTGAACAACTAGAGGTTTGTAAGCGAGAGCTGGATGAAGCTGATGATGAGAAACTCCACACCTTAGTGGATGCAAGTGCAAGGCCATCGGCACCTGCAGCACAGCTTATAGTACCAGTTGTAAAGCTGCCCAATACTGTTGGCAAGCGCACCATTGTAGTATTGTCTAGTGATGAAGAAGAATTGTCGACACGATCTGGACGCGGGCGTACCACTCGTGCATCGCGCGGAAAGTCTCCTCGAGGAAAGAGCACCCGAGCGACTAAGGCTTCGGCACCTGCCCCCTCGCCGCCGGAACGCAGAACTCCGAGGCGTTCGGCAGCTCAGAAATCCACATCGTGGCTTCAGAATATCATGAACTCCAGTCGTCGCCGCGGTTCTAACGATATCGAAAATGACTCTGATTGATTATACTCTATAATTGTTTTCAAGTATCATCATTTCAGCACATTAATAAAAAAATACTATTTTTAAGTCTTCTTATTATTATTCCAAATGCTAGCAATATATGAAAATGATATCTGATGGAAGCGCTCGCCATAGCAGAGGCACAGCAGTGTCACTGCTCCGCGAGCCGTGTTTAGCTGCTATAATAACTTTCATACAAATAGGAACGGATTCTCCCCGTAACCTTCACCGGGGGAAGGTCACCTGCCATAAGGGTCGGAGCCGGGCATGGTAAGCTAACCTAACCTAAGGTCGCATCTTTGTTCCTAGGTCAATACTTTTGTAATCTACTTTGTGAAGTAATGGACCATCTTTTTAAAATACGGTTTGATTGTCGTGTGGAATTTAATCACATACTTCGCCCCTCCGAAATGTCACACTATTTTGATATTATAGGTATCTACGGCTACATCAAGGAAATCCCTTGGTTGCGTTCTTAAATATCATTGCTCTATTATTATAAACTACGCAATATGATTATGTTGTATTTAAGTTTTTTTCTTACCTAAGCCTATGATCAGACAGACCTCTCTCACGGGGCTCAAACCTGACGATGCGGCTAACACGAACCCTAGCAAGAGCCGTGCTTCGCAGAATCTACCACTGGATGGGAAACGCGACCCACTGAGAATATCCGATGAGAAACTCAGTGAGCTGTGTCTGTGGGTTAATTTACTCGCCGAACCCTTCGTCGCGAGCGACGGGTTCGACAAGAACGATGACCGGAGCTTGGGGTACCTAAAAGCACCGTTAGTAGACCGGGAGGATCCGAAATGAAGTGTTTTGAGCGACGTCGACCGTTTGGCCCGCAGGATCGGCTGTGTAGTTTCCGGCGGCCACGACGAGAAGATTCTCATGTCGTGCCGCTTTATCGAAGTGGCGGATTGATACAATATTACGTATACTATACATTTCTGAGAAAAATATGGTCAATACTGTATCTGGGTCGTTTTCAATTTTGCGGCCAAAAAAGTAACAATGTCATGAATTTAAACTCTAATTTTTCATCTTTTTCGTATTTAGGCGTGTACAGAATAAAAAAAGCTTCATCACAATCAAGTCAATCACTCATTTATTGATAATATGATATAATATTCATTTATATTTTTCATTTTACGCATTTGATAACGCCAACACGGATGACAATTTAAATAGGAACTTTTTTAAAAGCTTAGAAATCGTACTTCTTTTGTTTTTTATAATGTTCTAATATCCAGTTAGTTTTCCTTTGTTGTAATAAATACTGATTAAATATAATTGCCGAATTTCAACTGGCATTACTGGAAAAATAGCAAACAAGTTAGAATTTGAATTTCGAACCAGTGATACGAATGAGATTTGAGGTAGTTTTTAATGTATAACTCCTAATTTAACAGCGTTTACGAATGACATGACAACAAATTTACTGTACTTATATTATAATTACGGTAAGTAACTTTAAGGTTTAAGGTCTCACTGGTGGTAGGACCTCTTGGGAGTCCGCACGGGTAGGTACCATCACCCTGCCTATTTCCGCCGTGAATCAGTAATGCGTTTCAGTTCGAAGGGTGGGGTAGCCGTTGTAACTATACTGAGACCTTAGAATTCATGGTTCATGGAAGTTCATGGTTTTTTACCTAACTTCATTTGATTGTATTCGATTTTTAAGTTTTAGGTTAGATGACGCTCAAGAAGCGTAATAAAAAAAAATTACAGTTGAAAATATTAGTTTTTATTACAGAAGCAACATTACACGTTTTTATTACACAGCAAGATTACAAAAAAATCATCTAGCCATGTGATAAACTTATAATTTTCTTAGGTAGATAATATATAATAAAATAGGACTCCTTTTTTCATTATTAACTTTAATTTTATTTGCTGTCTCGTCTGTTTTGCAAAACCATTTTTTTAAATGCTTAGATGTGTGAACGACTTTACGAAACGCTCAGTGTGGTCACAGCGCGGTCACAGTGCGGTCACAGAGCGGCGGGCGGCGGAGGGGAGACGTCGCGCAGGGCTCGGCGCAGGTACCGCAGAGCCGCCCGGGCCGCGTCCGCGCGCGAGTGTCCGCTGAAGGCCAGAGCCGGCGCCGCATCTAGCTTCAGCACGTGGAGCGGGTCGAGGGTCTCCCAGCACGTCTGCAGCTCCAGCGCCGCGGCCGCGCGCTCAGCCGCCTCCTCTATGTCGTCGGTCTCGGATAGCACGGCTCGAGCCGCCATGCGTTTTTCGGGATCTGTGTCAACCATCGCGCGTCTCAAGCACTGATCAAGCACTACAGGGAGGCGTCGCCTGGAGCGCGCGGTGCACTCACCCGTGTGCGAGATGAGGCCGTAATGGTACTCGGAGACGCGCTGGCCGAGGTCCGGCTTCCAGGGCGCGGGAGTGGTCTCCACCAACCGCTCCATGGCGCGCTCGTGGGCTCGCACCAGCGCTTGTTCCTGTGGACCGTTACAGTTGATGATCAATGTAATGTGATAAGAATGAGGGTCCATTGGACAGAAGTTTTAAGTACCTCAACGAAATCATGAGTGAGACGCGAGAGGTTTTCACGCAGGAACAAGTAGAGGTCGGCTGCGGCTTTTTGTCGCGCCTGTCGCTTGGTGGTGCCGCTGGCGTCGCGCGAGTGCAGGCCGATGCTGGCGCGCACGCTGAACAGGCGCATGTGCGCGGGCCCCGTGTCCGCCACCAGCGCGTACTCCACGCCCGGCAGCTTGTACTCCTCGCACAGCTCCTTCAGCAGCGCCACATAGCTGCGACTGTCCACTGTGGGCGCTTTGCCCTCGGAGCACTCGCCAGTCGATTGGTTACTCTGGAAGTAAATACAGTCGTCGTAATGAGTTTAAAATGTGGACACGGCAGCGACAGGCAAGATAATGAACAGAAGGGTAAAAGAACGGAACTGAAAACAGACGTTGCAGCAACAAAGCAATCATGCATTCTAGTTTGAATAGGACATTACTTGTATTACGTTTTATTATTTCTTTAATACACTACAGCTTGATTTGACTTTTTACATGGAAATTGTTTTGTGAACACGCAATATTTCATAACAAATTTACTGTACTTATATTATAATTACGGTAAGTAACTTTAAGGTTTAAGGTCTCACTGGTATAACATATATATAACACGCAATATTTCATAACAAAAAGGCATTTATATGAAGGATTACTCCCCAGCATAAGGTGTTGCTTGATATGAGTATATTATGTTTTATTATTTTATTTAGTGAATTTTGAAAATTGAAAATAATAAAACATAATACACATGTGTTGGGTAACAAGTCAGCTCACTGTGTGTCTGTCTTTATACAACCTGCGCTTAGCAATCCCTTTTATTAAAACTAGAACAAATACCATCACTACAGAGTATATAATTTATGAAGCCATTTATAACCACGATAACAGATGTAACTCATCATCATCACCATTATCCTGCCCTTCTTCCAGTTACCTGGGGTCGGCGCAACATGTTTTCTCCTTCCATACTCTTCTATCATATACAATTTCTTCGCTCACTCCCCTCTTACCCATATCGTCTTTCACGCAATCCATCCATTTCTTCTTAGGTGTACCCCTTCGTCTATATCCTTCTACATTTATAGTTAACATTTTCTTACCAACCTCATTTTCATTTCGTCTCATCACATGTCCATACCATCCCAAATGCGCACTTCTCAACTTCTCTGTCACAGGTGCTACTTTTAGACTTCCTCTAACATATTTATTCCGTATTCTATCCATTCTCGTTACTCCACACATCCATCGCAACATTCGCATCTCTGCTGCATGCAATCGCCTTTCAATAACAGATGTAACTATGGTACATTTTACAGAGAGTATGTATATCTTTAGTTATAATTCAAGGTGGCCTAAAGGATAAGACGTCCGGTGCATTCGTATTTAGCGATGCACCGGTGTTCGAATCTCAGGCGGGTACCAATTTTTCTAATGAACGAACATACTTAACAAATGTTCACAATTGACTTCCACAATGAAGGAATAACGTCGTGTAATTTTATTACACCCGCAAAATTATAATTTGCATAATTACTGGTGGTAGGATCTCTTGTGAGTCCGCGCGGGTAGGTACCACTGCCCCACCTATTTCTGCCGTGAAGCAGTAATTCGGTTTGAAGGGTGGGGCAGCCGTTGTAACTGTACTTGAGACCTTAGAACTTATATCTCTAGGTGTGTGGTGCATTTACGTTGTAGATGTCTATGGGCTCCAGTACACACTTAACACCAGGTGGGCTGTGAGTTCGTCCACCCATCTAAGCAATAAAAAAAAAAAATATCAGTTGGATAATTGAGATGTTACTTACATGAGAGGGTTGTGTAAATTCAGTAGCAAATGGTGGGGGCACACGGTGACCTATTGTAGAAAGACACAACAGCATGGCACGGGCTGCTTCCTGCTTTGCTTCCCTCTTTGATCGTGCAGAAGCAGAGACAGACTCACCTAAAGCCTTACAGCGGAACTCAAATGTGGCCTGGTGTTGGGGCCCTGACTGTGGGAATATCACGACATTCAGAAATTAAATTATTTGTCTTGTTAACTGCCAAACATCAAATTATGCTTTATTAAGATAATATTATGCTTCTCTCAATACTCCCATCTAGTCATACCTTTACCACTTTTGAAAATAAATGTACATTTCAGGCTTAAAAAAAGTGTGTATATTTGTGCAGCAAAGCATATTCCCTTTAAATGCAGACCATAAATTTCATCTAATGGAAAATGGTGTATGAGTGTTCTGTGCAAGTATGACATGATTGTGTATATCATTTTAAGCAGCACACCTGCTGCAACTTTTCATTCAAAATTTGAGAAGACCTTTCAGAGGCAGGCAGTTGCTAGGCTGTGCTCTGGGAATTGCTGATTTCCCAGAACTACTGTGACCAGTCACTATAAGGTTAATTGTTTGCCCATCTGTCTACAAAATTACACCAATTTAAGGTGAGGTTCAATTTTAATTACCCACATTCATACCTGAGCAACACATTCATACTCTGGAATCTGTCCAAGTTTCATCATCATTTCTTGCAGTACTGTTATGGGAGTTTTCATCTTGTTGTTAGATTTTTAAAGCTTAAAACTGGAACAGTAAAAGCTGTAATTTTAATAATGTACCCTTATTAATTTTGTTTGTAAATAAGACCTTGAGGTCGATATTCCGCATATTTTGGCCAAACACTATCTCTAATGAAGATCTCTGGACTGAATGTGACCAGGTCCCCATCGTGCAAGACATTGCCAACTGGAAATAGCGTTGGATAGGACACACTACAGAGCAGCAGAATCAATGCAGCATCGATCGCGTTTGAGGGGCCACTGCGTAGTAGGTGAAGATCTGGTGGCACATTTGTGTACACATTGGCGACACACCGTTGAGAGCAAGATGAGAACTGCCGGCATGACCTGGAGTTATCGTAAGGAGCTGGCGCAAGGCAGGGTCAAGTGGAGACAACTTGTGAGGGGCCTATGTACCAGCTGGGTACCCTAGGACTACAACAATAAAACCCTGTAGTCTATACATACATACATACTTTTTGATAATAATTATGAAGATTATTATTGTTAAGTAGGTTGCAAGTTTTCTCTTGAGCCTTTTGGCGTCACATTTTTGCATTATAACACAAACATATTGGAATATTTAATTAAATTAATAATGATTTTGATCAATAACAATATTGTTTTTATCTAAATCAAAATCATTAATATTGATAAATAGATTGATCAATAACAATATTGTTTTTTATCTAATTAAAAACATTAATAATGATAAATAGATAGTTAAATAACTAGATCCATATGTAGGTACATACCAAAATCATTAACAATAATAATGTTTTTTAAATCTAATGGTACATTTAGGTAGGTACTCTAGGTCGAATATATTAAGTGTTTAATCTATGCTCTAGGTACCGGTAAAATGGGGCGATTAGGGATTGAAAGGCGAATCGGGAAAAAACCGGGAAAATCTTTCGACGCTCAATATAAGTTTTATATTCGTTGCAAAATCTTCCATTTTTTTGTAGTTTAATAGTAGAATGTTGAAAGTTCACAAAACAACTCTGAATATGCATGATAATAGCTGCTAACTTATAAAAAATCGCGTTTCAAATTAACTTTCTGTGGTGGTAATTATTTTAGTGCTAGAAACTTTGCTCTCTTTTATTTATTTGATCATAATAGAGGACGACTATGATTTATAAACGTTATTTAGTGTTTGAACCAGCATATATATTAAAGGTAAGTCTCAGTTGTTATTGGTTTTAATGTATTTGATTAAATAAAAATACATGTAAAAATCTGTTGTTTTTGAGGATATTGGGGACGTCTTAGGTANGCGGAAGGGGGCGTGTTAATATGGCTTGGCGGCTTGGCTGGCGGCAGGGCATGACAGCTGACGTCACGTCCGTTACATATTCTAATGTTCAGAACTAACACTGCTCCATAGTGACACTTGTAAAATTACACATACTAGTGGTCCCCTGGTAGTCGAAATTCGACTATAACTAATGGAAATTATAAGTTTGTACACTATTATGATTCTATTGTCAAAGACTATTAAATACTTCTTTCATTACAAATTTCGTCTAAACTACCCTTTAGCAAATATTAATAAAGAGAAAACAATATTTAATCTATTCTCAATTTGACAGACTATAACTGACAGACTGCAAATAAACGTTTGACAATATAGTTTTCATACTTCAGTGCAATAAACAAATAGTATGCATGCGTGTGTGTGTCAAATACATGGTAGTGTGTGTAATGTTTTCTTTACTGATTTACTGTATCTTTTATGCATTATTTTAAAAAAATATTAGCATTGTGCACTTCTTCTCTATATTCTCTATAAGTGTGGAAAATTTCATACTCCTCCGTCCGCGCAATTTTCGTAAAAAGGGATACAAAGTTTTTGCTTCACGTATTAGTATATAGATGTTAATTTATTAAAAATCGCGCGTCGTTTATCGTGTTTGTATCGCTATACAAAGTTTCAACTCATTACAATAAAAAACATAATGAATTGAAACTTTACAAATACAAAATATAAGCATAGCTTTTTTGTTATATTTTTTTATTTTTTTTTATTGCTTATAAGGGTGGACGAGCTCACAGCCCACCTGGTGTTAAGTGGTTACTGGAGCCCATAGACATCTACAACCTAAATGCGCCACCCACCTTGAAACATAAGTTCTAAGGTCTCAGGTATAGTTACAACGGCTGCCCCACCCTTCAAACCGAAACGCATTACTGCTTCACGGCAGAAATAAGCAGGGTGGTGGTACCTACCCGCGCGGACTCTCAAAAGGTCCTACCACCAGAAATATTGAAAGTCATCAAAAATTTCGCTCTTTATGTGTGAGTAATGAATATAGTAATTGATATTGTAAACTTTAGACTACAAGAAAGAGGACAGAACGTTTCGATCAAAAAAAGCGTGACTGAAAAATTGGTCTATTAAAATTATTCTTTTTGTATATCTGTTAATATATTAGGGTGTGTGGTGTAGTGGCTATTTTTTTTTATTGCCATTGTAGGCAGATGAACATACGGCCCACCTGATGGTGAGTGAGTGGTTACCGTCGCCCATGGACCTGAGCAATGCCAGGGGCAGAGCCAAGCCGCTGTCTACCGTTTAATACTCTGCACAAGCCTCTTTTAAAGAAGGACATGTCATAGCGCTCAGGAAACACCGTGGAGAGGAGCTCATTCCATAGCCGGATGGTACGTGGCAAAAAAGATCTCTGGAAACGCACTGTCGAAGAACGCAGCGGTTCCAGGTGATATGGATGAACTCTGCTCCGATGGCGGGAGGTTATTTGCGCTTTAGGTTTCAGTAGGAACGTAGCCCTTTCTTGTAACTTTAAAATTGATTGTGTTTACAATTGTTAACTCAGGTAATAATTGTACATAAAAAAATATTTATAGTTCATCTGCAAGCAAAGTACCGATGCTTTCTAGGAAACTCTACTAAAAACCATCAGAATATTTTTATTACTTAGTAAGTACCTAACTAAGGAATTTGTTTTTTGTCAACGCCGCCCATAGTCCTCGGCAATACTATTATGATTATTTGTGTCATTATGAACTAAATATGTAGGTATGCATTACATAATAAACGTAGTCGCTACGTACTATTTGTAATTGCCTTTCAAATTTTTATTTGAAAATATAGCCTTTTTTTGGAAAAAAAGTAATTTTTCATGGTTTGGATAGTACCGAAAATCGATTTTCAGTGATTTAAAAAAGAAAAAACATTTTATTTCCAATAAACTTAAATTTCGATACCTGCTCCTTAATGATGTAAAGACTGCAAACGAGCAAAGTTTAGTATTTTGTTTTAAAAATGATTTCATTAAATCAGAATGCTCGTATTAGCCAATAATCACAATAACGTGCGTCCAGCTCTACCTAGACATATCACTTCTCATTTAATGAGGCATCGATATATCCAATCCCATAATTCTCGGTATTTGGTACATTGAATATGCTCATCAAATAGATGACCATTACCTTTGTGATGTGGCTTAATACCGCTTCTATGCCGTTTCGTTCCAACTAATTAGTGGCCAGTGCGACTGAATGCTCATACTGTGGAATTGCGGATTACATTACAGTACTACGTTCATTATAGGGACTGCCTCCAAAACTGAATTGATCGGCGAAACCCCCAATTAAAATCATTGGAAATTGGTGTTTGTGGTATTTTCAGTCGAATGGAACACTTGTAAATGTTCGATTTAATAGTAATTAATGAAAATTTATATTCGTTCTCATTTTCGAATGAATTTCTTATAATTCGAATATAGATTAGTATAGACGTATAATAATTAAAGTAAATAGAATCTTAATAATGAATACATAATAAAATACATAAGTATAATAAGTCCTACTTGTTAAATAATGTTTGGGCAAATCAGCGTTTTTATTTATTTATTATTTAGGTATCTTCATTTTATATTTCTTATAATCTTGGTGACCGTAGCAAAATTGTTGAGCCGCTATGGAGACGGAGAATTCATAAAATTCCACTATTCCAAACAAGATTATAATAATGGAAAATGTAACTGAAATTTCAATAAATAAGCTAGTGAATTCATTTTACAGTTCACTAGACATGTCATCCAAGCTATAGTAAAGTTAATCATGGTAGAGATTTAAAAAAAAATACAAAAATTTCAATCCGATGCCGAATAGATTTAGTCAATTTGTTTGTTAAGTAGTTATTTAGTTATGAAAATGGCAGAAAACCTGATAAATTTCGATATAAAACAAAAACAGATCAAATTGTTAACTCAATTTTCCATAATGAAAACATTCATTTTGGGTAAACATTATACCTACCTGGTGCTCTCAAAAGAAAGTATGAATGTCTTATAATTCTTTTATGTCAGACGAGAAAATACGGGTGGGTGATGCAAAACGTACAAAACTGTTTGAACGAGCCCCGTGTCACACAAGAGCGAAAACACAAAAAAGTATTTTATCTGAGCCCCTCTTTGAAGATAGCGAGCCAGAAATAAACAGAGCCTGTTTGAAGTAGTGAAAAGAAAATAGGTTTATTAAGTATGTTTTCTCTTGCAATAGTACCGTTTTAATTTCTAAGTGTTTTATGTTTGTGTTTGTGTTACAAAATTGATACCTAAATACTACACGAAAATTTAATAAGCATGTTGATTTTATTAAAGACTAACTAAGCTCAGATGTGCTTTACTTTGATTTTAATATTAAAAGCTCTTTTTGCTTTTGATATCGTGTATATATATTTTATTTTTTCAAAAATAAAAGTAGTCTATGTATCTACCAATATTGATGTATTCGTTGAAACTAAACAAATAAAACTTCATTCTGATAGTTTGAATTGGTCTCGTAATTAAATAGTTTAAACTAATTGTCACAGTCATGGAGTAAAATAAATTATAATAAACGCTGATGTACAAGCTTGGCACGAAGAATTGATCAAACCAAAATACCAAGCCGTATTTTCAATGAAACCGAAGTTGAAACATCATTAAAAAGAACAAAAGATCTTATTAAAAATAAAATGCCCGTTTAGTATTGTTTTCCTAGGATCCAGCTCAATAACAGTCAAAATTGATAGCGTTCTAATAGTGTTGTATTGTTCAATGATAATTGAAATATCTGTATGATGTTTTTGTATTCGAGCTTGAAAAGTTACAGCTATGACGGACTACCGTCTATCACGATTACCGATACCGACTACCGTATATCTATAGCCTATCACGGAAAAAAGGCATTTGGCAATCAATAACTGTTAACCTTTCGATGTATCATTAAAAGCAAAAAAAAACCTAACATCGGATATACCTCGAAAACTGAAAGGCAAAAAACTTGTCTAGTAAATACAAAACACCAAATACTGTGTGCCGTATTGTTATTCAAGTCACTTACACTCAAGCCGCTTACCCAACTTAAAATTCTGGGCCGTCATACACCATTAAAACTTGCTTTAGTTCGGGGTAAACTTCACGTATTACAACTCGAATAGAATTACAGGATTATCTGAAGGAAAACTGCGCAAACGACATATTTCCATTCATGAACTATTTGAAGGGTTCTTTTTATCGAAATTTATTCAAATCCCAAGGAAATTTGGAGTTAGAACAAAACAACAAAAATAATCCCAATTTTAAAATACGGTAAGTACCTAAGCAATCTCATTTATTACTAAAAAAAGAAACCAACTTATA